GCCGTGAGCTCAGGGCCATCCCGAGCTACACAGCGAGTTCAAGACCAGCCTGACCTACATAGTGGGACCTTGTCTCAAAAACAAAAAGTTGTTTCTTCAGTAGCTACCTCTAAAATTCAGTCTTTTAAAATTGTTTTAGTATGGATCTGTCTGCAAAAGGGGGAATACTGGTTGATCTTTGACCTCATATCCCCTCACACCCTGCCGCTCTCCAGCCCCCTGCACAAGGACAAACAACAGAATTGTTTTAGATCTGATGGTTTTTCCAGGCTGAACTGTTTACTAGTGAGGTCTTGGCACCACCTTGCGGTAGATTTGTTCATTACAGCACATACGGGGCCTGCAAGAGCTTCATACAAATCAGTACCCTCTTGGATGAGCACTGCACATCGATTCAACAAAAATCCATTAAAAACAAGTATGGCTTAAGAACGCTACTAAAGTCTGGGTTCAGTTCCTGAGAAATAGAAATTAAAGACAAGGTCCCAACTTCCTGGGGTCACAGTGTAACGGAGTAGACAGCAAACAAAAAAAGGGGGAAAGAAGAGTTTGTTACACATTCTGATGTCAGTGGGAAATCGTGAGACAGCACACCCAGGCAGGAGGGGTGTTTTTGAAACAGTGAGAGAAAGCCTCCCCGAGAAACAAAAACCAAGCTTGGAAGGATGGGGTGAGGTGGGACGAGGACATCCCCATGAAAGCAGAGCACGAGCCAAAAGCATCACAGAGAAGCCAAGGACCCCGCTATAGAAGGGGCCAGGACCAGTGTTCCGAGCACAGTGAGCAAGGCCCAGGGGCGATGGGGGAAAACTGCTGAATGCGTCAACCGACAGTGCATGGTGGGGGAGGGCCTTCCAGCACAGCACCTGGGTACATCTACATTTTCAAAAAACAGGAAGGATGGGAGGTGCTTCAGTTTTTTTTGTTGTTGTTTTTTTTTATTTTAAAGAGTAAAAGAAGGATAACAATAGGAGGATAATAAAAACAAAAGAAGGATAATAATAGGAGGGGCTTACCAAATGACAGACAAAGTGGTAGGAAATTATAATGGTTATTGTTTTACATATTGTTATCTATAAGATAGTTTCTCAGGAAAACAAATAGACAAATGATAGTGAGTTACAGACAAAAGAGGTAGGAGATTATCAATAGTTGTTGTACTAAGGTATCTTCAAAGTGGCTTCTAAAGAATATAAATAGAATTATACATGAGTGACCTACTGAATAATCATTCAATAATTCTCAATGGTTGTTGTAGGAAACACATAATAATAAACATGGATCCATTTATGAAATAGGATAGGAACAATACAAACATTACAGAGTTATGGATAGATTAGTAGGAAAATATCAGTGACTGCTGTAATACATGGTGGTATCTTCAAAGTGGTTTCTCAGGAAGACAGAGATACACAAGAAGGATCTAACAAGTAGTTACAGCCTAAGGGTTGTCAAAAATCAAGTGAGTCGTCTGGGGTGAAAGCCATTTTTTGTAGTGTTTTCTCTCCAGCCTCCCATCACATTGGGACCCCACAACCAGTTAGTGTCCTCTCCCCAACTGTCAGCACAGGCAGCAGGAATCCTGCTGCAGACTTCTCCCGAGCTCCACCACAGCCTGTACTGTCAGGGGAAGAATGGCTTCCAATGAGTCTCTGCAGGTATTGTGCAAGGTCCTCCTGGTTTACAGCTTCCGAGAGGCTCTCGTGACCCCAGTCCACTGGACCTCTGACTCCGTGGGCTTAGTCTGCATTCGCATGTTCTCTGAGTCCTTGTTCAGCAGCTGCTCCTCCGCTGGCTCTGGACCTTTCCGGTTCTCAATGGCAGGAGCAAGAGTGGCCCGTTATGTGGCATGTATTCCCAGGGTTGGGTTTTTTTTTTTTTTTTTTTTTTTTTGCGGTACTGGGGATCGAACTCAGGACCTTGTTCTTGCCAGGCAGGAGCTTGTGCCACTGAGCTATATCCCCAGCCCTCCAGGGGTTGTTCAAAGTTTGAATGATTCACACACATCCGTGGGTGGGCAACTGCAGTCGGTGCATGGGGGGCCAATTGTGTCACTGTTTCTCTGTGTCATGATAGATCTCAATTGAGCAGTGGCGGCCTGCCTAAGGGCCGGCGCGCAACAGCACTCGCCGCCGCATGGCTCCCCGTGCGCTAGGGGCCCTCCCTCTGGGGGCCTACGAGGCAGGAAGCTAGCTAGCAGGAAGACCGGCGCTCCCCGCCCGTGGCTCCCTGTGCGCCGGAAGCCCTCCTTCCGGGGCCCTACGAGGCCGGGAGGGTGCTTCAGTATAAACCTGGCCATTTGCTTGGTTCCAGGAGAACCCGGACCAGGGACATCGAGGGTTCCTGTGAGCCTCCCAACCAGGCAGCCTGTACCTGCTCCTGCCCTGCCCCGTGTGGTTCCTGCTGCAGATGAACTGTGTCTCTCTGGCTATGTACATTCATTTTATAAGCCCGAACAGTGGGCTGCAAGTCACTTGGGAGCTCTTAAGAGGTCCAGGGTCCAGGCCACACCCCTGATCAGTTAAATCTGCTTGTCAGGGAGAACCTGAGCTCCAGGGCTTTAAACACTCCCTGGTGGCTCCAGTGTGCAGCTAAGTGGAGACAGACACCGGCCAAGAGAAAGAAAAAAGGCTTCACCGGATTCTGTGGAATAGTGAGGGCTCTGCAAGTGATGAATGAGCTGGACTGGTTTCTCCTTCAGGATGTGGACTCTTCCCAGGTGGAAGCCACCACTCTGGGCCACCAAGCCCTCCACGTGATGCTCTAAGTTCCCGCCTGGACACTTCACAAGGCAGGAAACAAGACACCAGCTGTAGCACCATGTCCCGCGGAGGCCCGCAGTGACCAGAGCAGCTCTGCAACTGCAGTTGCTGCTCCGAGGGATCTGTACTCTCTGGCTTTGGTATTACAGGCTGGACAGCCCTTATCCAAAATGCTAGGGACCGGAAGTGTTTCAAACTTTGATTTCTTTTTATTTTAATTTTGGAATAGCTGTATATATAGAGAGAGATCTTGAGGAGGGAACCGTGAGCTGAGACAGCCAGGCAACATTAGTACATGATGGGATTTATTACCAAATTTCTAGTTCCAATAAAAGGACAATTAACATTAAGGCTCATGCTCATCAAGCTCCCTAAGGAACTGGCAACGCAAACACTGCACTTGTATTTCAGCAAATCACTAACGTTATTTTCCTTAGAAGGAAGCTACCCCCATACATCTTAGTGCCCACGTGGCTATGCCAAGGTGGCGAAAATCCAGGAGACTTAAACTCTGTCATCTTCTAGTTTTCCTATGATGAATCTAGATGACTGGTGTAACAGTATTACTTATGTAATTCCAAAGCAAGCAGAGCATAATCACCCAGCAAGAAGAATCAGTTCTGTGCTTTGCAGATTCAAGCGTGTAAGTGGTCTGAGTGCTCAGGGCACAACTCTCTTTTAAGATACTTCCTCTGCCGAGCCTTAAATTGACCCCTCAACAGGAAGACAGGGCCATGTCTTACTTCCTTGGGAGCTGTGTGGCTCTAGTACAGTGTGGCAGGCGCCTGTCAGGATCATAAGAGCACAATCAATTCAATTGGTTTAGAGGGTGAGGCCACAGCCAACAGTCTTTTTTTCATAAGAGATATGGACCCCTTATTGCATATGTACATGTAAGCAGTTTTTCAAAGTATAGTCCCTAAAGCTAGTGTTCTCCGGACTACAGGTATACGAAGCAGGGAGGGGGTGGCTGAAAGACAAAACAGATTTCTTTCCAGAGATGCACAGAGCCTTGACTCTGCATATATTCACTGCGAATCTGCAATAGGAAGTTGCCATACTTAGCTCTTTACAAATTAATTTTGGTCACACAGCACCTTTCCCCGGAGACCAGCTTTCCGGGATGCGTTTTCAGAAGTGCTAGTCTATCCTTTCAGCACAGCCGCTGAGCTACCGTCCTCAGGGAGGAGGGACTGCAAAGGCGCCCTGTCCCCTGCGATGAGGGCGGGGCACAGGCCCCAGGCTGGGGGCTGCACAGGAGGAGGTCAGGCGGCTTCTGTCAAGAGCTGAGCCACAGATGAAGTGGCAGAGCCTAGAAAACACGTGAGCAACGGTCCAAACGTCACAAGTGAGCATCAGGTGACACGCTGACTTACTGTTTACAGACACCATTGCACTATTTTTCCAGTCTTGTCTGGGTTGGACACTCAGAGGGATGGTGAGAGGAGAAACGCCAGCCGCAGACCGACTGGCCCTACTGTAAGGGTGGCGGCACCTTCTGAAGCTCAGCACCCCGAAGACCTTCACTGTCAAATGCTACTGCAGAAACATGATGCTTTCACCTGAAACAATGCTTAACTGCACATTCCCACTGCTAAGATCCCACGCAGGCGCTGCTAGAGATTAAGAGAGGAAGTAAGGTGTAAAGACAGCTAAGCTGATGAGGCACTGAGTTTTTCTGTGGATGAATAAAAGCGGTGGGCAGGACGAGGCTTCTTCATGTCCTACTCAGGACCGCGGCGGACAGTGACTGCATCGGTGGGGGCAGGCACCGGGTCACCTACCGCACGGCAGAGGTCCCGCAAACACATCCTCCAAAGTGCGCCTTGGCAAAGGAGTTTGGGGCATCGCCAAGATTTAGAAAACACTCACTATGGCTTTTATCTAGATGTCTCCCCAAACCAAGTGCACTCAGGGACAGGGCTCTCGGAAGCGGACTGGATTACGGGGCTTGTAGCTGACTTCTGGTAAGAGGCAGGGTCCGGTCAGAAGCGGCAGGGTCTGAGGGCTTGGCCTGGAAGGGTTTGTCTCCCTCCCAGCTCCTTCCTAACCCCTCTGCCACGCCATCCTGCCTCGGAGCCAGTAAACTACGGACCGAGACAGGAGCCAAGATAAACCTTTCTTCCCGTAAGCTGTGGGTATCGGGTATTTTGTTCCAGCGAGGAGGTGACTAAGACGATACTATATACTGTTATCTTTCTTCCCGGAGACTCACAATGCACGTTATGACATGGGAGTGTGAAGAGGTCCTTTAATGAAGAAATGCTTAACCCAGAGTTTCCCAAATCAACCTCACACTGCAATCTTTATGTTTAGACTGTCTAAGCCATAGGATATATTTTGGAAAATGCTCATGCTTTTGAGAAATTCTTTGTAAAACAAAAATAATTTTTACTTAAAAAAATTAAATGATTCCTAGGATCGCATCTGATTATGGTACAGAATTGAGCATGGCCTACCCAGGGCCTGACTTTCATGCACAGAAGCCAGATGTTTATCGTCTTTTCTTCTTCAGTGACAATCAGATGGGTAAAACCATTACTGCTGCTTATCACATGACAAGGCCTTCCAAACAGACCTTTGTTCCTAACAAAAAAGGGATGATAAAAGGTAGAGCTTCTAATGCTTTTCAGCAAGAGTCATGCGGACCAGAGATCATAATACAAAAGCTTTCAGCTACACAGGCCAAACAATGTAAAGGTATTACAGCCAGGACAAGGAAAGATGGAAATCAACGAGAGAACTGGAACGATATAAACCTTTCATCATTTGTATAATATGTCACTTTTTATTCTTATTTCCAAGAAATTTTACCTATTTTGAAACAGAAGACAAGGGAAAGCACGACTCTCCAACTGTGGGACTTGGCAAAGTTACCATCCAAGCCCTGCTAGGCCGTGAAGCACGCGCATTCACACCTCAACAGAAATTCTTGCGAACCGGTACTGCAGGGAGGCAGGCGGCCTCAGCAGCACCAACCCCCTCTCAGCCACCGGCTGGCTGGACAGCAGATGCAGCAAGCCTGTCACGCTAACAAACCCCAGGGCTTCTCCAGAGCCAACAGCCATGGAAAAATCTCCCTGAGTGACAAAGCCTAGAAGGGCTCTGGAGCAGTGTGAAGTCACAGCCGGGAGGGCACCTGCCCACAACCCTTGGGTCAGGGCTTCCTGCCTGGCCTCAGGCGGCCCTGCTGCCAGCCCCTCGGGAGCAGTGCATCCTCGGTTCTGCCTTTTCTCCACTTTCTTCTTTTCCTTCTGCTTCAGGATCTCATTCTTGAATGGGTCGCTGTGCCGGGACTCCTGGGGACCACGGTACTGCCGGTCCTGACTGAGCCGGAGCAGATCCTCCTCAGCTGGGACACAGATCATGGTGTGCGGCTCCGGGCTGCCTTTCCTGAGCAGGGACAGGCTGACCCACACCAGGGCCCTGGGGAAGCGGTCCGTGAAAGCCAGGCAGGCCTCTCTGGTCAGTCCTGGCTGGCCTCTGCTCGGGGCCCACCGCGCTGCCCGCCGGTCCTCAGAACGGGGCCCACACCAGGTGGATAGTTGCTTCAGTAATTTTCTGCTCCTGTATGAAGCCAGAGATACATATTTGTGGATATTTTGTTTAAGGAAAGATATGCAATCAGAAGATTAGGCACTGCTAGAGCTAATTTGATCTTTTTAGACTATCTGTGAGAAAGTACCAAAACTATAATTTTTTAAATTAAAAATACATATTAATATTTTAGTAAAAATATTTTCCTTTGTGTCTACCATTCTAACACTAAAAGTTTAAAAAGTTAAAGGCAGAGAAACATAAGGCAGCGGGTAGAGCAGAGGGCTGTCATCGCAGCGACAGGGTGGGGACAGAGAGGAACTGGCATCTGATGAGAGAGCCCGAAAGGACAGCGAGATGTGAAGTAAGAAAGACGGGTGGGAAGCTCTGAGCCTATTGTACAGGAAGAGAAGTACGAGGGAAAGACATGAGCGCTTTTTAAAACGGGAGCGCATTCCGCAGGGAGCTGCCAGGCAGTGGAACTTGGCCTGCAGGGTTCCAAGGGCGGAACACATTTCACCCAGCAGCTGCTGGGGTGAGCGTGTTCCACGGAGGGGCTGCTAGCCCACCACGAGTCCATGACCGGAAGGATGCAAAGCAAGGAAAGCTTGCCCAGTGCAAGAGGAGCTCGGTGACCTGCAGGAGGACCACACCCCCGAGGGCACGGCACTGCAAGCAGAGACTACCGGAGAGCGGTCACAGGGAAGCTGCCTCGGCCTAGCGCTACAGGCGACAGTGCGTTCATTTCATCAGCACTGTCATGCCCTCAACTCAACTCTTACCAAGCTATTTTGCTGGGCCCTCTACGCAACATCAAAGGACGCCCTGCAGAAAGCCCAAGCATTCACCTGGGTTTTGCATAGAGGACCAGTGCTAACGTTTGCATCCCGTGGCCTGTTCAACATAAACATAAATAATGCAGAATACATCCGGGAGTCACCTGCACTCACCTAAGAACACAGAGTGGACTACTGGTGACAGCAACGTGGTTCTCACTGGCATCCTGGCCCGTCACCCTCTCAGTCCCCGGCTGGTCCTGACACCCTGTGTCCATGACTTCTGACTCTGCAGGGTCATCTACAGACGTGCCTGCTTCAGAAGATGGCGCGGGAGCGTGGGGCCCCTGGTGACTTCTGAGGTCACTCTCCTCACCACTTGGAGAGGAGTCTACAGAAGACCTTTCTCGGGCACAGACTCTGGACTCCCAGTCCTGAGTTAACTGCTCCCAGGGACACCAGAAAGGTGCCACCGTGCCAAGCTTGACATAGTTGGGCCGTTTGGCAGGAGGGCGCCTAAAGAAAAACAAAGAGGAGAACAGATTTTCAACACTTGGAGAGTGACATTTAAAATAATCAAGGCCACTGTAATGCATCTCTCACACACACACACACACACACACACACACACTTTCCCTAAAATGTAAGAAAATAACAGCAACACAACACGAAGTAGTTCCAAGTGACCAGTAGACACTGCAGAGAGTGCCATGCCTGAGAGGCCCACGCACATGGCACTCCTAGAGCTTGGACATGTCCCTATCCATCCACAGCGTTAAGTCTAAGGCTAAGTGAAGTTTCTCACCCTACCCATCCCTCCCAGTGACCCTGCTCCTCTGCAAAGACAACATCTGTATCAGTTCCTCAGATAACATTCCAAAGACATTCCACTCACACAGAAGCATGCAGTATCTACTCCTTTCTTTTTACTCATTCGGGAGCATACTAGACGCAGCACTTTTTTGCTTAACTTCACGTTTTCTTGGAGATCGTTTTATATCAATACATCAGTCTCTTTCGTTCTTTGTAAAATGCCTTCTTTCCTGTTCCACCAAATAAATATACCCTCATCCACTTGGGCAGCTAGAAAGACATCTGCTGAAAGACACTTTGGTTATTCCCAAACCTCTGCTTCTACAACTAGTGCTGCTACACGTGACCTTGAGCCTGCAGCACCCGCGTCAGCATAACTAGCCACGGAACTGCCAGGGCGAGTCCTCTGTCAACTCCCCGATGCCCCGGTTCACCTCCATGCCCCTTTTCTCCGTTCCCGAACATTTGCTGTCACTCATAGTAGCCTCAGCCATCTACGTAAATCGTCCTTGGAATACACTGGCCTACTGTCACTCCACATCCGGGACCCACCCTCCTGGTCAGACGTGAGGTCTGGTCACGGCCCGGTGTCGGTGCCCCCTCACAAGCCCCATTTCAAGGATGCTACTCTTGGAGCACTGCCTCTCTTAACCCACTCGGCCTCCCCCAAACTGCTCCCATCAGAGCCTCCCGCTCGGTTACACTCCACTTCCTCACTGCTCCCCACGGCCCCTCAGCCCTGCTCATCAGCGCAGAGACCAGGTGCAGGAAAGTCCCTCCCTTATCTCTGCCTTCAACGCCCTCCACGTGGCAGGCCCAGCGTGGTCGGAGCAGCTCCCCAGGGCCAGGGCCAGCATGGGCTGGGCGGCACACAGCAGGAAGGACTCACAGTGGTCCTAAACAGTCCTGTGTACGTTATAAACACAAAATAAGCAGGAGCTCTCTTCCACGCCTTACCAATCTCTTATTTCTCTGGTCACTTAAACTTTCCACTGTCCCAGAAAACTGCTTACAACAATTCCTTCAGCTCTCCAGCAGGCCCTCTCCACCTCCTCTTCCAGCTCACAACCTCCCCACTCTGTTCACCGAGAAGATGGTCGCAGTCCAGGCAGCGTTACCCAGTCTCCCCAGCACAGCATCTACCCGACTAAGCCTGGGCTCAGCCTTCTTTACAGCGGAAGAACTGGACCCCCAGCCTGTCAGATGCCACCCCTCCACCCATGTGCTGGACCCCACTCCCTCTTCTGAGCTCTGCTCTTGCAGTTAGCGTCCCTACCCTCCTCGGAGCTCCCCTACCAGCCTGGAAGCTTGTGTTCCATCAAGGACATAGGGCCCACAGCGCCAAGGACAGACTTTGTCGGCCTTGTCCCGGTGACAGCTCTGGTGCCTGGAGTGGTGCTGGACCCACAGCACACTCTGAATCAGTACGTGCTCGGTGCATGAGTAAGTCAGACACATATACAGAGATGTACACAGAGAATGTTCACAGAACGTATACAAAGAAATCGGCCACTGGTAAAATCCACATCCATACCGCAATCCCACGGAATCACTCCAAGTTCTATTTCCAGCCAGAACAGGCAAGCTGTGACTCACAGGCCAAATGTGGCCCCTGCCTATTTTTGTGCAACCCATGAGCTAAGAACAGTTTTTATATTTTTAAATGGCTGAAAAAAGCAAAAGAATAATATTTTATGACACATGAAAATTATATAAAACTCAAGTATGAGCACCCATAAATAAAGTCTCATTGGAACACGGCCGTGCTCACTAGTTTACATGTCATCTGTGACTGCTCTCGTGCCACAGGGACAGAGCTAAGTAGCTGCCATGGAGACCAAAGGGACCACAAAGCCAAAACTAGGCATCATCTGGTTCTCCGCCCTAAGCGTGCCAACGTTCGGTTTAGAGTTACTGATACGAAGAAACCATCCACAAGCTATCGTTAAATGAAAAGGGCGGGTTTCAAAATAGTTTGTGTAGAACAATCTTTTTATTAAAAAAAATTCTGTACCTATAGAAAATGTACATGCATTAAAAAAAAGTATTTTTATCAATTATTGACCGAACACATCAAGGACTTCTACTACACAGTATAGCTCCGTGATCGCCACCCTCACAGAGCCGGTCAATGAACAAGCCAGGAATGTATCACCTGAGCCCCACAGTCGGTCATGCATCAATCACTGAACACACGGCGAGAAAGCCAGGCCCTGTGCCCGCCTCCGTGATGGCAGCAGGGAGTAAGAAGGCATAACTCGGTCCCCATGGAGCTCAGCAAAGGGATTACAGCATAACATCCGATTAGGTACTGACGCCTCAGACAACAAATAGAAGTTATGAAGGCCCACCGCACCCCAGGGCTGGCGGACGCCACAGCAGAGGAGAGACAGACAGGGAGCCTACAGTTTAGAGGAACACAGGTTCCTGATGCCCACCCGGACTTTCCTACGTAAAGGAAATAAAGCCCTCATTCACTGGTCTCCAATTAAAGAAAAGAAACATAGTCTAGACGAACAGCTACTAAAATATAAAAACAGTGCTCATCTCTCGGGATAGCAGGACTACATCAGTTTGTGAAGCATTTTTAACTATCTTCATAGATTCATTAAAATTTTACAATTATGTATTAATTCTACAATCAGTCTTTTAAAAGCACGGTGTCCACAAACGGCCACAGGTGGACTCCACCATCAAAGCCAGTAAATAACCAAGAGAAAGGCTGTAGCCTAAACGTGCCTGTAAAAGCCAGACGGACGTAAGACAATCTCCTGGCTTAAGTAACATCATCTTAATTACGTCACGGTACTGCAGCGCTCAAGAAAAAGAAAAGATACCACAGTGCATGGGAAGAGTTACGGAAGTGACGCCCACGCTGCTCGGCTGGCCTGGCGGGCACCACTGCTTATTCCTTAAGACACACCTAGAAGGGAGAGGGCACCTCCTTACCTTTTGTACTTTTCAAGAAGAGTCTTCGCTTGTTCTTCAGCAAAGAGAACCCCGGCAGGACAGTCTGGGAAATCGCCTGGGATAGAAGGCGCCCTTTTATACTGAGAATGCACTAGACTCTCTTTTAATCCTCCAACTCTTGCACCTCGATAGATCTAAAAAAAAAATCCAAAGATACCATCAATTTACCAACTTAAAGTTGCTGATTGTGTGGGAAAAACGAGAAGCAACCAAAATGAACATTAAAGGGAGAATGGACAGACACATAGTGCGATCGTCCTACAGCTGATTACCATTTGACAGGGAAGATGAATGAATGGAGCTTCATCGGTAAGCATGGACACCTCCACACCAAATGAAAGTAACAAGCAGCAAAAGCATATACACAGGGAGATACACAGTTTGAAAACACTTCAAATCCAGTTATATCATTATGGGATAAAAACATTTAATAAATCTATAAAAATATGCAACGTGGCAACAAACACTAAAACCAGAATGGTGATGACTGTAGATGAGAAGGGGCGGAAGGTTGGACAGAGGGCCAGAGGGATCCCAGTGAGTCTGCGTGCTTCGTTCCTTCACGGGCAGGTGAAGGGCACACAGCCACCTACTACATCAGCATTTTTTTTTGGATGCTTGAAACATGTCATAAATTTAAAAAAATATAGTGCGATTTTTTTTGTTTGTTTTCCAGTACCGGGAATCGAACTCACGACATCAAGCTTGCCAGGCAGGCACTATGCTGCTGAGCTAAATCCCCAACCCCAGTGAGATTATTTTAAAATATTCCCATTCCTAAATAATTAACTGAATGTCCCTTGCACTAAGCATAATTGCTAAAAATTAATTGCCTGTATGAATCCAGTAGTCTGATAGTTCATCCATAATTTGTACCACCAAAGTAATATTTAACATTGGGCGTGGTGGCACATGACTGTAATCCCAGCACTTGGGAGGCTGAGGCAGTAGGATTGCTGTGAGTTCAAGGCCAGCCTGGGCTATAAAGTGAACTCAAGGCCAGCCTGAACTACATAGCAGAAAGACAAAAAAATTTAATGTAATGAGAAAAATATAATGTGATATTTTAATAAAAAATTTAACTGCAGTTCACAGATAAGAATACTATATGGTTACAGTTAACATTTTAAAAACAAAAAAGTATATTCTATACATCTGTAAAAATTGTCTTTGCTTTTAAACTAAAACTTCACGTTAAAAACTCAACATTTTACAGCTACTATATTAAAAAAGTCAGGCTATTTAAAAAACCTCAAAAATTCACAGTATGTCAGCACAAGGAAGACACTTGTACTGAGACTATCTGTATGAAGTATTCCACACCCAGGATTAATCCTCTAAGGTCAGAAATATACTTCTCAGTTTCTAAGTTGTACATACATTCTAGAAGACTTTCAGCGTTTGGGATTTACTAGGCATGTATTTTAAATGTTGCCACTATTAGAATCGAAGAGTAACTTACGAACGGGATCCAGAAAGCCATGCCCCAGCCCTTTGGGAGGAGGACATCCCAGCCACTGCCCCAGCCTAGGCGGTCTTCACCAGTCACTCTGCCCGGCTGTTGAATCAAAAGTATAGGGATCCTGGATTCACGGGGACCTAAAACAAGCTGTGACCCAGGCACCAGCAATTCACTTCTCATCCGGTTCAGATCCTAAAGTGGAAGAAAATAATTCAAGACAAACAACTCCAGTCTTCTTTAAGACTCTACCGGGTCTCCCTACAAGCAGTTTTAGAAACTTAAATGCTCTTTTAAAAAGGGGGAAAAAGCCAGGTGTGGTAGCACATGCCTGTAATCCCAGCACTTGGGGGGCTGAGGCAGGAGGATCACTATAACTTTGAGACCAGCCTGGGCTACAAAGTGAGTTCAAGGCCAGCCTGAATGCATAGTGAGACCCTGCTCAGAAAGATAAAGAAAAAAAATGTTTAATAAAAAAAGGCAGGGGGTAGGTTCTGAATAAATAAATGCAACCCATTATAAGCACGAAGTATTCGTCCTATAAAGTTCTTCCTCCTGCAGGGGCTTTGGTAGAAAATGCCTGCCGAATTATTTAAACTTGCTAAGTTTGGGCTAGATGATTCAAAGATATAAAATGATACATTCAATCTACAATCTCGTATCAAAATAAATCTCATATATTTAGATTCTGTCCCTTCATTTGATTGAGATGGGCATGAAAAAAGGTACAGTTAACAGCAGCTCCTTAAGGATAGGCAACTGGAAAAATATTCTGGCTCCTGAGAAAACTTCTCACCAGGTCTGATAGACCTAAAATAGGAGATGCTATAAAGTACTCATTAAGTAGACTACAAGCGATGGATAACATGTTTCCAGACTTTCCTTGCCAGCTGTAAAGACAGACGCACAGGCAGGTGACAGGACCACCACTCAGCTCAGAACACGACACACGACTGCACCTAACTCACCTCACACGTTCATCAAGGCATCGCCAAGCCCGAGTCTTTTTACCTTTGTTCGAGCTTCTGCCTCCTTCCACCTACACACATAATGTTCACTCCAAAGTACCTTTCTCTTTAGCCCCAAGTTTCTCACGGCCCTGAAGCACCTCCCCTTCCTGCTACATTCCCCATCCTCCTGCATCTGCTATGTGGCTAAGTGACGCTGCAACCCGCACAGTCCATCCGCTCAGTGACCGAGCGCCTCTTACGTGCAGGCACATTCTAGAACCTGGGAATGCAGCAGCGACCAAGTCACACACGGCTCTAGCTCTCTTGTAACGCTCTTGTATCCTAAGCCCTAGCTAGGACTGTGGGTACTGATCTACAAACCCTATGTCTCTTTCCTTTTCTCGGTCTCTTTCTCTGGGGGGTGGTGCCGGGGATAGAGCTCAGGACCTTCACACTCATCTACGTCCCCAGCCTCTTTTTTTCTTCACTGTGAGACATGGCCTCCCTGAGACATCAAATTGCCCAGCCTGGGCTGAAACTTGCAGTCTGCCGGCCCCAAGCTCCCGGGGCGCTGGACTACGGGCGCACACACTATCACTCCAGCGAAGTCCTCTCTTCTCTTCTGCCTTTCAGCCAACCACCAGTCTTTCCAGGAACACGGTACATTACACCCCAGCATGTCCCCTCCTGCCTAATTCAGTTCCATCACGTCATATGTGGGGTATTTTAAGGGTCCTTTAATGCCACCCAGCCCATAGTCTTTTCTCCAGCTCTCCTGCCCACCCAACTAATCCACCCTCCCCGGGGCTCCCACAGTGCAATCCCAGGTCACAGCCCGCCCTAAACCTTCAGCGTTCAGCGGTCTCTTACATCCTCAGTCCAAATCCTTACAGTGCCGCAAGCTCTTTCATGTGCTGGTCCTTAAATTCACCTCTTCAGCGTCACCTCCTGTCTCACTGCACTACCTCCTAAAGTACTTGCAAGGTCATGAGTATATCATCCTAGCTTTGTTCCGGGCTACTGCACATGCTCCTCCCACGGCCTGAAATCTTTTCTTCACTGTGGCCTTGCCCTTGCCCTCCAAAGTCAGTTCATTCTGACCCTGCCTGAGAGGAAGTTCGTGTACCAGCTCTTCCACTCAGCAAGCCAGCTTCAATTTCCCTAGCGTGGACTCAGGACCCCATGCTAGGCTTCCTCAGTACCCTGTACCTCAGCCATCCCCCAGCCATGTACCCCAGCATCTAACACGATGCCCGCCTCTGGTAGGAGATGGTATTTGAACCTACTCAACTGGGAGTCAGAATTAGCTAGACAGAGAACGTTTATGGGGGAAAATGACAATAAAAGAAAGACGTATTTAGACCATGAGATTATCTCTTTAAGAAAAAGTCTTCGTATTTTTCCTAGAGATACTTCCCTGAGAACAGAAAGGAAATTACAGTGTGCGCCAGGTACAGCAGCACACACCTGTAATCCCAGCTATTCTGGAGGCTGAGGCAGAAGGATCGTTAAGTTCAACGATCCTTCCTGTGCAACTCAACGATCGTTAAGGATCGTTAAGTTCAACGATCCAGCCTGTGCAACTCAGTGAGACCCTGTCTCAAAATGAAAAAATAAAAAGGGTGAGGGATGTCACTCAGTGCCAAGGTTCATTCCCTACTACTGGGGAAAAAAGAAAGATAAAAAAGGACAGTATTATCATGAATAAGGAACCAAAAAGTTGTCTGAAGAGAAAATCTACTGGATTCTGTAAAGTATAAATGGTCTCTAGAATGACGAGTTTCACCCGTCACTGGTGACTTTGCCAGTAACCCTTACACTGTTAGTTACCTGATCCGAGATTTTATTCTCTGTGACACTCTTACAGATCACTTGGTTCCAGATAAAGCTATGCGCACACTCCACAGGCACACCCTCCAGAAGCAGCTGTCTAACTTGCTCATTATCTAAGAGGGAAAAGAAACAGCCTTCAAACCACATCCGTAGACCAACAGCCCACACCTGAACACCTGCTCATTTATGATGAGAAAACACCTTATAGGCACTTATTTAACAAGAAAAAATCACATAACAAGAAATTAAATTATCCTTATAGCTAGTTTCACAGTCACTGAAATAGCAAAGGCTGCTAAACTTTTTTCTTTGATATGTGTTTTTCATGCATAAGATGCAAATATCACGATATTAAATTGTCTCTACACAACTGCCTAATATAACAATTTACAACAATCAAATTCTAGGTTATCTTCTTTTGCCCCGTATCTCGTCTCTGACAATACATTTTTATTGAGCATTTTAGTCCTTTTTATAAAATGTATTCCTCCATTCCTTTAAGATGAGCACATTTCCTGTGAAACATAGGGTTCACACATGGTTTTATGCCTTTAAGCAAGGCACACCATGTTAGAAAGGGTTCTATCGGAGAAGGAAAAGAAACATTTTCATTGGTAAACACCTATACTGACAGAAGACACCTCCTCCATGAGTCATTTAATCATCAAGGGAAAAAAATGTAACTTCCAAATATAACTTTATTAGACTGAGCTGGGTGTGGTGGCACACGCCTGTAATAATCCCGGCACTCCGGAGGCTGAGGCAGGAGGATTGCTGCAAGTTCAAGGCCAGCCTGGGTACAAAGTGAGTTCGAAGCCAGCCTGAACTGCAGGGCGAGACCTTGTCTCAAAACAAACAAAAAAAAATTCATTAGACTGAAAAGTTAAAAGCAACAAAGTTAGACAATGCATGAATTTTGGTTATGGTTCCAAATGCCAACACAGAAATATCACTCAAAAGCACATACCTCTGTGGGTCTGATGGCCAGGAAAAAGTAAGTTCAAAGTAACCAGGCCACAGTGTAACAGATTTCCGGGGAGAACAAAGAGAAAATTAAACGATGAACAGATCTGAGATGAGAGCTGCTTAGAGCAGCAGCAGCTTCCAAGCATGTTCCTCCTCACAGAGACACTAATTAAGGGTGGTCTCAAGCACCAGGGCTGGGCTCTACAAAGGTTCACACTGCCTGTCTAGGAGCAAGCAACAAGCTTCACCCCATCAGCCCCCATCTACCCAGAATGCTCTCCTGTGCAGCTGCTGCAGATCAGAGCAACAGACTTGGGGCATTATTCAGATGGAGTTGCAGACCAAAGAAATGACACATAGAGGGTAAAGCACAGGACAGCACTGCCTCATCTTCAAATATCCTGCATGGAGGGATACATTCAGTTGAAAAGAAATGAACTATCAAGTCATGAAAAGACATGGAGGAACCTTTAGGGCATACTGAAGAGAGAGAAACCAATCTGAAAAGGCTACGAATCATATGATCCCATCTATGACACTCTGGGAAACTATGAAGAAGTAAAAGGATCAGTGGCTGCGACTGTTGGGAGGAAGGGAAGCTGCAGCCTTCAAACTCACTCTACTTTAAAAATATGCAGCTGGGTTTAAGGTGCCTGCCTGAAGCTATTAGGATTTTTTCCTTCCAAGAGCACAAACAAAGAAGTTATGGCAAAATGACCATTAACTTGGCACTCCTGGAAGTCACCCGTCATTTTGTAATCCTAAAGTGTTTGCAAGTCCTATTAAAAAGTAAATACTGTTCTGAAGGCAAATAGACTCTTCCCATGCTTTGGGGAGTAGCATAAGTCATACAGCCAGAGTGTTTACAGAGAAAGATGAAAGTAAGTTTATGAGCATAGTATAATTTCTTTTTTTTTTTTTGGAGCACAGTATAACTTCAGTATTTTCTTTCTCCTTTTCCTTTTTTCTTTGGAAGAGGGGTGATGCTGGGGATTGAAATCAGGACCTTGCACTTGCTATGCATGGGCGCTACCGCTGAGCTAAATTCCTAATCTCCATATTCAGTATTAAGGCAAACTCCTCCCTGGCAGATGAGGATTAGCTAAAATAACCTAGTACAGTAGAGAAAATCAGGAAACACTACAGAAGCAAATAAAGTAACAGACAGCACAGGACAGATTTAGGTGTTTTGTAAATTTGTCTGTTTTGCTCTACCTTTTTTTGGTTTTGTTTTTGATTACCCTAGTGCTGGGGGTTAAACCCAGGGCCTTGTACATGCCAGGCAAGTGTACAACCACTGAGCTACAACCTCAAACTCAGCCCCAGATATGTAAGTCTCACCTAGAAAGCCAGTTAATTACATAATGAAATGCTTTGTAAAAAAACGTCATTAATATTTAATTCAAACCTCAAAACCAAATCATCAAGCAAACTTTTCAAGTTTGAGAATATACATTACTTCAGGTTTTCGTGTACCTTCTCTTTTAAAGGCTCTCTAGCACCCAGTACACACAAGAAACTGAAGAGTTTGTTATTCAAAGCAGGCAATTCCTTCTTTATTGTTTAACCAGCTCGGAACTGATCTTTCTCATCTAAGCCAGAAGAGGCAGAGAATGACTTCAAATACAATCAGCCTGGAACTACGTCAGAGAATTAGGTCTTCACAACACCCTCATGTAATTAATTCTCCTAACAATTAATCTTCTAATGGACCCAGCCTACCAAAGTATACTTTCAGCCGTGGGGATTTTGGGTATTTCTGCAGTGCTGGGAACTGCACCCAGGGTCTCACACTTGCTACACGAATGTTCTCGTGCCGCACGACATTCCCAGCCCTTTCTTTTTTATTTTGGGACAGGGTCTCATTAAGTTGCCAAGGCTGGAATCAAACACCACTTGCGATCTTGCCTTAGCCTCCCAAAGTGTGTAACGGTGCCCAGCTCCACCCTTGGTTTTGATTTCTCTTCCAGGATATTACACTTGTTAATAATATTAATAACATAGTGCTGATTCCTTTAAAAATACACTTCTTTATGCAATCTCACATAACCAGATAAAATATACCTGCAACAAAATTACAATATTTAAAACAGGCTTGGGTCTGGGGGTTTAGCTCAGTGATATGGTGCTTGCCTAGCATTCATGTATGTCCTGGATTTGACTCTCTGGCCTTACCAAAAAAAAACCACCTTTAACGGAATAACACAGTAACAGCTAACAAGATGGTAAACTTTTATAATAGAAATTAAATCTTTTTCAAAACATTTTAATTTTCCTTGAACTGACTCATAGCAAGATAAAAGGCTTAGACAGGATTTAATATATACTGCTCCATTCCAGAAAAGAATTTGAGGTAACAAGAGAAACAAAGTAGAGTTTAACTATGGCTTTAAGACAGTTAAGATAGTCAGCATTTAAAGGCATGGAAGATGCTGCAAGTTTTATGGCTGCAATAAACAATATAGTTATTAAAAAAGAAAACAACTCATTGATCAAAATCTTAGGCTCCAGCCAGGCGTGGTGGCGCACACCTGTAATCCCAGCACTGAGGAGGCTGAGGCAGAAGGATCGTTGGGAGTTCAAGACCAGCTTGGGGTACAAAGTGAGCTCAAGCCCAGCCTGAACTGCACAGCAAGACCCTGTCTCAAAACAAAAAAGATAAAAAGCAAAACAAAACAAAAAACTCTTAGGCTCCATAATTAACTAACTTACCTATGTATCTTCAGAGTCCTCTTTCACCCTACCTACCTTTTATGTGAAGCTCTGATAGTGTAACTTACTGCCCCTCCAAAAACGCTATTTAACATGCTATCTACAGAGCTGAGGATATAACTCAGCGGTACAGTACCTGCCTGGCAGGCACAAGGTCCTGAGTTCAATTCCCGGTATCCAAAAATAGATGGTAATATGCTATCTAACAAGACAGTAAATACAATGCAGCATTATCACAGAGGCTACAAATCCCAGATCGCCACCCCAGGCCCACCTCCAGCCACACAGCTCCCTCAGGCCCCTCTCCAGTTCAAACCCAGGCCTCTAACACTCCAGCACCTGCGATGGCCTTGCCAGGATTCGAACCTGGATCATCTGTATGGTCAGACAGAGGCTTCCCATGAGCACAAGACCAGCTGCGGGTGCAGATCCCTTCCTCATGATTAACATTCTGAAACACCAGGCATTGTCAGAGAGTCCAGTTTACAGAGAGATAGGTTTTACCGGATATTAAAAAACAGAGAACTCAGAAAACAAGCAAACATAAAGATCCAGCTACACGGTTTACACCTACAAGATCCTTCCTCACATCCCATGTCCTTTGATTGTAATCACCCTGAAGAGAGATAGCTAAAGAGCCCCCTGATTTTTCCCAGGTAAGTTACTGCAGAAGTGTAAGAGAATTCTCATAACAAGACGGGAATGATCAATATAACAAGGAAAACCACAGGTGCAAGTGCTTTACCTTGGCATTTTTCTGGGCTGGATAAAGCTTTAGACCTCTTTGGAGGCAAATTTATTCGAGGATCCCCCACTGTGAGTCCTAGGATAGTACCCGATGGAATTTCTGCCGGTGATGTTACTCCTTTAACAAAACAAAGGAGGGGAAAAAGCTTACAGCAAGTCACTCATAATACATACGTATTTTCTTAGATTAAGATTTTCTAATGAAAAATTTTCTTTGGGCTAATTATCTAAAAACATGTCTTTCCTTTTATTCCCCATTGATACTTTTAGAAAATAAATTAACATTCAAAAAAGGGACGTTTCTTACAAAAAAAAAAATATTAAGCTGACATGAAAGAAGTCATTTCACAGTGCAAGCACGTATGCTTCTATCAGTGATAACCATTAACTGTTATCGGTACAAAAACAACCAGGAGACTTAAGTTTAGATTTCAGTTTAGTACCTGATCTATGTATTTACCTATATGAGAACGCCAGTTACTCAGAATATTAACATCTCCATGGTGTGCTGTTTCATAAGCCAACATGAATACAGTGTTTTATTTATTGAACTCAAGTACCTCTTACTTGCTTTTCTTACGATAAAGCAAGACTACCTATCGGGAGCCCAACAGCAAATGCTCTTAACCCACGTCCCTCGCCTCCCTTCCTGCCTAGTACAGCCCGGTCCTCCCTCTGTATACCTCCCAACAGCTCAAAAATGGCTTCCTGTCTGCGATGAAGGGCAACACTGTCGGTGTTCCTACAGGTGTCAGTCCACCAGCGGTGAGGTGTCTCCTCTGTGTCCTCTTCCCCCTGAAAAACAGCAAGTCCTCCTCACCAGGTGCATGATGGGTTAGATTTAATAGCTGGTATGGCTGCAGGACAAGGAGCCACCCCTCCTGTTTCTGTTGGTGGGAATTCTGTTTCATGGGGAGCGGCAGCGTTAAAGTAGTAATTACTATCAGCCTAAGTACTTTTAATTATAGGCAGGGACATGGTGTTACAAATTTCTGTCCAGACTTCACATACCAGGAAAGCTAGCCAATCTTCAAAGAGACTACCTCATTAAGCCACTTCACAGCCCTCGTTCTATCGAGCACAGTTCCAACAAGGAAGCCCTTGGTCCTCTCCTATTATCACCACCTTCATCACCTCCATGGGCAACCACACCAGCACCTTTAGAAGACACCTTCAGGTAAAGGATGCACTGCTACCAGAGTACTCTTAAAAATACTGCTAAGATGCTCGAGCACTCCACTTATACCTTTTCCCAAGAGAACTGGGAGCTGAACAGTTCCAAAAGGTAGTTCAAGCCCTGGGCACCTGCCGAGCCAAGAGCACCGGCAGCCAGGATTCACAGTGCAGCGCACAGAGAGGCACCATTCACCTCACAGAACTCTGGCAGCAAAGCAGAGGGGTGTCCAGTACAGACTCCAGAACCAAACTTTCCAGACTCGAATCTCTAGTCCACAACCTGTGAGCTACTGTGGAGCACCTTCTGCCAGGTGCCACGCTACACACTGCGGACACAGACAAGATGCCCTCGCTGTCAGGAGGCTCAGAGTCCAACGAGAGAGGCATACACTGTATGAATGCATGCACGAGTCCGAGCACGGAAACTGAGGAAATGCGTAGCACCACAGCGGGGATGACGTAACCCGAAGGATCAGGGTTCTACAAGGAAGCGACACAGACTGAATGTGGCGGACTGAAACTGGGAGGAGCAGGAAGGTGTAGCCGAGCAGAATGGAGGGAGAATGTCCAGCAAGTGGAGCAAAACCAGGCACAAAGGCTCCGAAGGAGATGAGAAGTGACACGTCTAGGACCCGGAAAGGCCACTGCGACCGAAGTGCACACGGCGAGGTGAGACGAGGCCCCAGAGGCAAGGCCACACTTACTCGGGTCACATCAGGGCTTTGGATTTTACCTTAAATACAATGACACGCTATCCAAAAGCTTTCAACTGCAAAGCAAAAGGCAAATAAATTGTTCAAAGATCACTGCCTCTGGCACGGACAGTGGTGGCAGAGCAGCAACGTGGAGAAGTTATAAACCCCTCCCGTGCTGCTGGCCCAGGCAACAGTGGAAACTAGGCAGAGCAGGTGCAGAGAAGCCACCTCTGCTTTTAAAACATCGTCTTTCTAAAAGCTCAAACTCCATTCACCTCTGTCATTATAGCTGACACATTAGGTCTGTGAGGCACAAGCCCTGAGCAGTTCACTGCACTAAGACAGGAAAACACACAGGACCTGAAGCCGGATGGCTGAATCCTAATCTAGTCTCCATGCCCTACAGCTGTGCTGTCCAACACAGTAGCCAATCCATGAGCCACAAAGAATCATTTACCTAATTTTTATTTAATTAAGATAGTAAAGATACAAAGTCACTCCCTGAGCCACTTTTCAAGTGTTCAGTAGCCTCACGTGGCTCCTGGCTACCATACTGAGAAGTACAAGGTCCACCATGCTTGCAGAAAGTCACATCAGAAGTGTGGAGCTAGACATACTGCTCTTCGGGGGATGAAGACAGAAACTAGCCCCAGAAAATATGCATCACATACGTCAAACATTCAAAAGCTGGCATACAACTTCCAGGATTTCAGGGACATCCTGTTACCCACCTATGGGGTGGAGGTTAAGTCCCTTCTGGAAGACACAACTACAGGAAGCGTTTGTATGCAAATAAAAACAGTCACAGTTTACTTATCACATCCTCTTAGATTTGGTCTTCTAGAAGTGAGAGACAAAAAAATTCTTTCATAAAAAGAATAAGTAGGGAATTAATATTTAAAAGCCATGGCCCAAAATACTATCAAATTACACTGTGTATTAGGTTTCAGAAATTTGCTGAGAAAAACATGCCTAGAATAAAGACGATAATGCACTTGTACTCCTACCGTGTGGACAGAAGCAGCTTTCAGTGCCTCTGTGAGGATGGAGTGGGAAAGGGGACCAATAAGGCGGAATCTATTCATCTCCATGGTCAAATCACTGAAAGACAGAAAAGATCTTATGATGGAAACTGCCACCATAAACAGTGTCCGCACCACTGGCAAAAATGGGGTCTTTCCTGAAAATGTCCAGTAGGTTCAGAGTGAATTCAACTCAGACCTGATTATAATGCCTGTGTTTGAAGAGATCCAAGAATATGCTTGACATGGATCTCTAGTTCCATCACCAATAACTTTTTTAATTGGTTTGGCATTGGCTTCATCATCTTTCCTTTTTCTTTTCTTGCCAATTTTCTCATCAGTCGTTTCAGTTTGGCTTTTTTCTTGAGACAGTGTTGGAAGTGGGCTCAGGACGCTGACAGTTGATCTGACGGGTTCCAAGCACTGGCACACAGTTTTTATCTCCTCTAAGACATCCTAAGGGTATAGAACACATTTACTTTTAAGTTTTGAAATGTAAATACATAATTACAAGTTTAACTGGTTTAGTTTATATTTTACCTCTTTAAAAATCAACATTTTAGGGACTAAGGATATAGCTTAGCACGTGCCTAGCATGTTCGAGGCCCTGGGTGCATCCACAGCATTGCCGTAAAAAAATTATTCTTCACATTTTTGTCCCTTCACAAGTTAAACTAAATTTATCATCATCAAAAGGCTTTTCGTGCCAGGCGTGGTTGCACATACCTGTAATCCCAGCACTTGGGAGGCTGAAACAGGAGGATCACAAAGAGTTCGAGGACAGCCTAGACTATATGCTGAGTTTAAGCCCAGCTTGAACTACATAGCGAGACCCTGTCTCAAAAAAACAACCAAAACAAACAAGGTTTTTGTTTTTTCTGGGTATTGTACAGCACATGGAACTAAAAAAGAACCAAATGTCAAATATTATGAAAACAATCTGGCCATTATGATCAATTTTTTTTTAAATGTTTAAAAATAATTGTGAAAACTTTACAGCCTATGGTATAAAAACAGTGCTAAAAGAGGAAAGCTAAGCTAAATGCAGAATTAAAATTCATCAGAATTACCAAGGCTCCTCATAATCAAATAGGCTGTCACAAGCACCTAGGCCTCAGTAAATCAATTCAAGCAAGAGGAAAGCATTAAACAAAGGTAATATTGCTGATCATTAGTGCAGTAAGGTTGGTTTTCATCTCTGCTGCTCCTTACAGTTCACTGAAAAATGAGAGGTTGAGATTTACCTCATTCTATAAGATGGACAAATATATTACATGTGTAGTAATGGATGTGTTACTTAATTTGACATGGTAATCATTATATAATGTATACATGTATCAATCATTGTGGTGTACACTTCAAACATATGCATGTTTTACTTGTCAATGAAGTATTTCTAAATAAGTTTTAAAGATAAAAAAAAATCTGCTTCATACAATATTCACACAAATTTCCCCATTATATTCTAATACCAACTATCAGCTAAACTTTTACACCACTGTATTTAAGTTTCACTAATGCTAACTTCTGGTGGCAATTAAAAATGTAGTGGTAGAATGACGGAGAAATAATATAAAGGATCATACCTGTTTAAGAGTTGGATGAAGCCAAATCCACAACTGCCTGCTCTCAGAAGTGCCACGAGGGGTCCCCTCTGACTTCCAAATAAACGTAATGGGCCCAAGCATTTCTCTGGGATATTTATTTGCCCGGTACAGCATGAGACTTCCTTGGCGCTTTCCAGACAAGCAGTGAACCGCTGCAAAGGTCAGGCCTGGCATAAACACAGCAAAATACTCTGATCGCAAGTGCTGGCACTGGAATATTACTATCTCCCAACCACGCTGTTCTTTACTATCTCCAGAAGGAATGGAATTTTGGTTTTGCTTATGGCTTAGATGAAAGCCTCATACATAGTTAAGTTCCAACTTTTTTTAAGATAAGGTCTTGCTGTATAGTTCAGGCCGGCCTTGAGTTCACTATGTAGCCTAGGCGAGCCTAAACTCACAGTGATCCTCCTGCCTCAGCCTCCAAAGTGCTGGGATTACAAGAATGTACAACCACATCCAGTTCAACTTTTCTTAAAGTAGCACGATCATTAGGAAAAAGCAGTTTTATGTTTAATTTCAAAACACTTATACTAGTCACTCATTCATAAAATGAATAAATATACAAAGACTAAAATAGGATCCAGCTTTGAAACAAGATTACCTGCATCTAAGCTACACATCTGAGAAAGTGCCTTGAGTATTTCTTCCTCTTTGCCCTTCAACTCCAAACAACAGTAGTAGGACAAATCCTGCACAGAGAGGAAACACAATTATATTCTTAAAAGTTACCTAGGGCAAAACTACCAAGAAGTCAAAAAGCCCTACCAAAAAACCTCTGGGGGTCTAAAGAACAAACTACCAAAGTTAAGTTTCTCAATGTCAAAATCTGACATTACATTAGCAAATACTCTTAAGCCAATTGGAATCAAAATGAAAAATAAATCTCCATTTAAATATGTGTCCTACTTTCAAGCAAGAAAATCTGTTTTTTTGCATATGCAGAGGCAAGTTCAAAGTAGGGTCTAAAAACTGCTGCTTTTAAGCAAAGGATTACTCATTCCCCACACCACAGTATAGCAAGCAAGACAGTAATAAATGCTGCAAATTATACTACTGCGCACTCGTTAGCGAGTGTACAACCTCTCCATTACGTAACACTGAGCCTAGAGACACAACGTTACAACGAATTTATCCACATTCGCCCCAAGCTCAGCCTTGCCCACCATAGGTGACTTTAGAAAAGCAATGTACAAGGAAAAATAAGAACAATTATTATTTTTGCCAATTTAAATAGAATGAAGTGAAACTGAACTGAGTGGGTAAGATCAGTATCTTAAAGAACTTAACAAGCATCTGCCTGGCAAGTGCAAGGCCCTGAGTTAGAATCCCGGAACAAAAAAAAACTGTCAGTCACCGAGGGGTTACTGAGCGCTAGGCACGGGCTAACTCTTTACAAAACTGTCACTGAGTCTTCCCGACCACCTAAAAGAGGAGGTCCTGTTATCATTTCACAGATGAGAACACAGAGGCACAGAGATGGCTGCTTGTGCAAAGTCACTGAGTCAAGTGGAGCGCGCACTAATCAGGCTCCGACCCCAAACCAGCCCCCCGGCCACACCTTTAAGCAGCGATTATTACTAAGGGCAAATTTAGCTATGATTCTGACAAATTCAGACCAACCAGCACCATTACTAACACACAGAAACCTTCCTATCAACAGTGCTTGCTTTCAGCTACCAGTGGCCCGATGAGTCTCACCCAATCTGGTACAACCAGGTGACGGGAGAGAATAATGGTTGGGTGTGAAACTCTGGAGTCAACCTCACCACTCACTGGCTGTATGCTCGTGGGTAAATTACTTCCTTGTACCTCAGTTTTCTCTTCTGTAAAACGGAAATAATGGAAACTGCCTACCTTGTGCCATTGTTGCAAAGATTAAATGAGCGAACACGTAAAGCATATAAAACAGGGCCAGGTATATATTACACACGCCCAAGTACTTGTTCCCATTAGGTATGGCTTTTATTATTCAGCGCTGATCAAATGTTACAAAAAAAATTATAAATATTTGATGACTTCAGCAAAAATTGTGCCCCAAATGAGAGGTAACTCGGTCTGAAATAACCGCCTGAAACTTGAGAGGTGGGAGAGTACAGTGGGAAAAGCACAGGCAAGGAGGATCAGGTGCCCCAGTGCTGTCAAGACCACCAACAAGGTGGGCAGGTCGCTTCACCTCTCTCACACTCAGCTTCCTCACTGTAAATGAGGGATTTGATCCAACCTACGATTTCTGCTGCAGAGTTCACAAATCAAAGGCTCTTCCAAGGTTCCTGCATTCACTTACCTTGATTAGAGTAGCTATCATCAAAAAAACCAGGAAGTAACACATGTTGACAAGGGTATGGAGAAACTGGAACCCTGTGCACCACTGGTGGAAATGTAAAATCATGCAGCTGCTACGGAAAATGCTAGACGACACCTCAAAACACTAAACCCAGAATGATCGTATGACCCAGCACTCCACCTGTGGGTATACATATACAACAGCCGAAAGCAGACACTCAAATGATATTTGCAGCATTTTTGCCCTCAGTGATATTATTCACTCCCAAAAGTAGAAGCAACTTATTATCCATTACAAAGAGAGCAACAATTATGCAAACATCAGAATTTTATTCAGGCTTGAAAAGAAAGGCAATTCTGATCCGTGCTACAGCATGGATAAATGTCAAAGACATGATGCTAAGGGAAATAAGCCCAACACAGAAGGACAAACGATTCCACTCGTGCAAGTATCAAAAGGAGTGAAATTAAAAGACAGAAAGTAGAATGGCAGCTGCCAGGGACTAGGGGAGGGAGGAGCAGGGAATCTGTCTACTGGGTACAGAACTTCGTTTAGGAAAGTGAGACGCTCTGGAGATCGATGATGGTGTTCGCCGCACAGCCACGATGTGCCGAACACCAAAGAACGGTCCAATTAAAAATCGTCAATGTTTCGCTGGTAATATGTCTACTTTTACCACAATTTTCTAGAAAAGGCTTTTGTATTCTGCTATATGGCTCTCAAGAGATACCAGAGGACAAGGCCGTCATGCCAGGGAAAGATACGCCTTTCTGCAAGGAGTACCCTTCTAAGTACGTATAGGAACACAAAGAAAGCAACTGCATTAGCCGTTGTTGACTGCATTATGAGGCTCTAAAACAATATCCTCAAAGACTTTAACATTTAAACCATGCTTCCCAGGACGCCTCCGAACCACACACACGCATCTCGACACGTACTGTAAGCACTGAACAAGGTATCTCAGGATCTGCTGCTGACGAATGACTACTCGATTAATCTACACTGAGGAACAATAGGAGCCTGCATGAGCTGATTCTACTTATGCCTCCGATCTAATCTCACCCTAACAGTGGCCTTGCTCTCAGCCTGTCCGCCGGTGTCATGAAGAACCTGTTCTCATGTTTCATTCTCATGCTTCCTTCTTCGTCCCTCACTCGCCCATCTTATTCTCTAAAGCTCAGCTCACACATCACATCATGGCCAAACACCTTCCAGTTCCTGTTGGAAACGTTCACTGCCCTGCACACTTTTCTTTTACAGCCATACACCTGGCTAATTCGATTGCTGTCTGCCTCTTCTACCGGCTTCAGGTTGCTTCACCTTCAGCACCCAGCAAAGCGCCACAGGCATCACTTATAAGACGGACAACCGCACCGAGAGGACGTTGGCATACCATGAACTACTCTAAGGTTCAACACTAGAAAGGGTCTAAGAAGAAGAAGAAAGCCCACTGGAAAGCGCACCTGCAGGAGGCAACGGTTTGTCATGGCTCGGTAGCAGGCTCTGTGGCTCTTGACTGTCGGCCTCTCCCCAAGGCAGTAGCCCCACCTCTTGACCATGTGAAACCGCTTGGCATGCCAGATGTGCGTTTCTAACCAAATGTTCTTCCTTTGTCTGCGGTTAAATTCTTGTGTCCGGTTTATGTGACATCTTCGAGCTTTATGGCATTTATTTTTGGAATGTTCTTTCTTCTGATGCACAGCCTTCTCCGCCTACAGTTATGAGAGGTAGGAAAAAAAAACAAGAAAAGAGGTAGATCTTAGTTTGTAAGCATCTCAGAACCAGGTTAAATGTTAGGAATTTAAACAAGCCACTTTAGAACTAAGTACAGACCTCCTTACTTTGCTTAATTTGTTAATTTGCTCGTTTCTCGAATGTAAATAGAGAACGGGGACAATGGAAAGAGTAAAAATTTAGATAGGCAATCCCAGGAAGAAAGCACATTCATCACTCACTAAGATGGGTAAGTTTCATTCTTTATGAAGATTGGGGTATTTATGAAATTTCAATACAGTTACACAAGCTTAACATAGCTATTTATAGAGGACAAGAAGGAGTAAGTTGAAGGCTAGCTGCTGCTGCTGCCGCTGCTGCTGTTGCTTGCTTTAGCCTGTAGGACTATAACTGAAACCAAAAACTTTTAAGAGCAAAATACAAAAGTGAAGAAAATGCAATCGTTCAAATGCTAAATGCTATCACTAGGAAACAGACTTTACATTAAATCAAGAAAGCACAAAATTCCTAGTTAGATTTCATTCTCAAATCTCTCCCACAATCAAGCTATATTCTAGTGAAAAAAAAAATTCTGTGTTAGCCCAGGTGGGGTGGTGCACACCTGTAATCCCAGCACTCAGGAGGCTGAGACAGGAGGATCGCTGCAAGTTCAAGGCCAGCCTGGGCTACAAAGTGAGCTCAAGACCAGCCTGAAGCACACAGTGACTCTGTCTCAAAAAGACCAAAAAAAGAAAAAAAAAAGAAAACTTCTGTATTAATTTTTGAGCCTTGTAAGGACAGGGACTTCCTCTCATTGAAGTTTAACCCCACCCCTAGCACAATGTTAGTCACTAAATTTTAAATTAGTAAAGACATGGGTAGATTAAACAACATTACAATGTTCAAGTCCAGAATTCTGGTTATGCTACACCACAAGTAGATTACACAAAAATTAAAAACAAATTCAAGCTTAACTTTGAAAAAGTCACATGGTACATGCTAAGCACTGATGCTGCCTTTATAGGAGCAAAATGCTAATCTGATAAAAGGGTCAGAATTTTATTTTAAATATAGAAAGAAAAATACCAACTGTTTCACACCATTAAAAGAGAGGAGTTCCAAATGCTACTCTTTTAAAGCAGCTTTAATATCCAAATGCCTACTAATATGGCTTAAGGAGGGTGGAGAGGGCTAGATAATGATATCAAAAATATATGAAAAAAAGAAAAAAATGTAACGAGCATGCTGCCTTCTGATTTTCCTTTTTGAAAAGTCTTTTAAGTGAGTATGGCTCAGTTTCTCCTAGGAACCACCAACCTGAACGTTCTCACAAGTGAAACTCCTACCTCCTTCTGGGCCATCTCCTGCAGCCGTCTGGGGAGGCGTTTGACGTTGTGGCTCATGGCCCTCCGCCTCATGTGCCGCGGCAAGGTCTGGAAGACCAGCGAATTGGAAGACTTCTGGGTCACGGCCTTTAACATGGCACTTATTTCAGCAGCTCGCGCTTGAGCAAAAGTAGAAGCTGTTGAAGAAAATGACACGGTGGAAACCAAGCCTTGAATCAGCACCTTTCCCAGTGGACTCCAGAAGGAAGACAGATTTGAGGTACGTGAGTTCACAGTCGTCACCCACCACCCCAAACCCTGTCAGATAAACACCGACAGTGGTTGTTTCTGTGTCACACCATCGTGAGAAGATGCTCCTGCAACTTTTATATTTCGTGAATTTTCTACTCAGTTTTACTTTTCCTATTCAGTTTTACTTTTCTAACCCACAAAAAAGCTAAAAACAACTCTGTAAGGAGGTTTTAAAAACAGGGATCTCCATACAGTATACAGAGTCTGTAAAAAATATATATATATACACACTTCAGGAAAAGAAAAACTTGCATAAATATTTTAATACTCCTGATACAACACCTGTAGACTTTCATCTACAAGGGACCCTAAAACATGTCATGTATCACGGAAAATCCACTACACTGCAGCCCTTAGAGAAGAAACTGAAAGTTCATGCGCGCAGCAATCTCAATGGACATTGTGACTAAGGTCACCTAACCAGCAGTTTTTCATACTAATAAATATCTGGACGCTAATAGCTACCACTCTGAGTACATCTTTTTTTTTTTTTTTTTTTGGTTTTTCTCCGGTACCGGGAACCAAACTCACGACCTTGCGCTTGCCAAGCAGGCGCTTTGCCACTGAGCTAAATCCCCAGCCCCTCTGAGTACATCTTATAGAGGGCAAAGGTAACCTGTATTAATCTTATGATGTCTCAATAAATTAAGTATTAAAATATTTATGCAAGGGTTTCTTTTCCTGAAATGTGTATACATTTTTTGGAGGATTCTATATATATGTGAAATAAGCCTTTTGTAAGTGCAATAATTATACAGAAAAAATGTTTAACTATAGTTTTAACTCCAAAGATTTGTTGCTTAATATTCCTGATTTTTCCAAACATGTAACTAATATTTTTGGTTCTCTTTATTGAAAAACACATTCTTTTTTAAGTAGTAAACAGAGTGCCAGCGAAATGTAAGTGTATCTGTCCATGGCCTGGAGAGGCCAGAAGGTATCTGCAAAGGGTGTGCGGGAATGTTAAGGTTTACATGGCAGAGGAGATACAGGTGAGGCAGGGGCGATGGAGAAGAGTCTGGAAGGACCTGGTGAGAGGCTTTTAAACAAAGGTCTTGGTTGCAAGTACAGTGTGTTAAATCTGCTTCCGTCTGTGGAGAATGCCACATTCATGCGTGTGGGTGGAACGTTAGAGGGATGGGATGGGAGTTCACAGTGAAGTTCACAAATAAAGACTTACAAGACAGACAACACAAGGGAGAGAAACTGCCAAAGGAAGAGGGTCAGGCCTAAGGAGGTTATAGCCAAAGTCCAGGCTGGGGTGAGAGGGCCCAAGCAGACAGAATAGAGGAGCGAGGCAAGGGACGCAGCACGACCGATGCTGCAAAGGGTAATTTATATCTGGCTGCACTAAAAACAGAGCACACGCAACACAATCAGACTGCGTTCCCTCGCCCATACCAACCGGTTATATACTTGGGAATCTCCTGAGAAGTCCCATCGGGACCTGCTTTCCAGCCTCCCTTTTTTTTAAACATGAGTTTGGAGGAAGACTGTTCGCTCGTATCAGGCTCAGGCAGTGAATGCGGCGTCACCTTGGTTTGCCGCCGTCGTGAAGTTCCAGAATGAGGTTCTAATGCATTTTCAAAAAGAAAACAAAAAGAAGCAAGTCACCCTCACCAGATTATCCTTACCAGAGATTAGGATTATACTGCATGGATTGCAATATTATGTTTTTAATCTCACAACAACCCTTAAGGTGACTATTACTATTATCTCTTTCATAAGAGGAAGGATCTCAAATAGGGAGCTGAAATACCTTGCCTCAGGTCACAGAGCTAATCATGACAGTATGACATATAAAGAACCCTGGCTACAATAGATACACGGAAAATGTCTGTACTGCATACTTACAGTCAACATGCAATTGTTGCTAGGCTCCTTGCTATGGTCTGAATGTTCACGTCCCCCCAAATTCACATGTTGAAATTCCAGCCACCAAGGTGGTGGGAGTAAGAGGTGGGGGCCACTGGTAGGTGCTAATGTATTGGGAACAAAGCCCTCATGCATGAGATAGATGTCCTTTATAAAGGAGGCTCCAGAGAGACCCCTCACCAACCCACCACGCAAGGACAGGGCAAGTAGTATCCGTGAAGCAGACACTGAATCTGCTGCGTGAACTTGGACTGCTTCACCTCCAGAACTGTGAAAAATATGCTTATTATTGAGAAGCTACCTTGTGTGGCAGGTTGTTATAGCAACCTGAATAACACGCTCTTAAATATGACAATACACGTGATTTTGTGTACTCAGTCTTATCCTAATTGGCACTTTCAGAAGATACTTTTAAGGAAGGAATAAAAAGCAAAGTCTCTGCACAAATCTCTTAAGTTCAAGATACCATCAGATACTTGTCTGTGAACAGAGGAAAGGTCAGCAGGGAATTTTAGTGTCTCTCCTTGTTTCCACACGGTGTGAATTATAAAACCACTATAATGCTGAAATGTTACAAATTTTGTCATTGTAAGGGTTAAATAAGAACTCATAGCATGTCATCGTAGCCCTCAACTTACTGGATAGAATCTAGATCTTATGCATTTAAATCTCAAACTATTTAGGCAGACCCAATACATACTGTTCCTCAAAGCAGGCCACATGCTTTTGCTGCCTTCCCAAATTGGAATTTTTCTACTGCTGTCCCAGTGAACCCCTGATCACCTTCCTATCACCTTACAAGGTTCTAAAATCAGCACGCATGTTAAATGAAGATAAGATGGCCATACAGTATATTTTTCCTAAGGAACACAGAAATATAACTAGTAACAAATGCTAAGGTAGAAATAAGAGATATCAGCTCCAAAACATGCATAGTAACACAATATAGTTGTGTTCTACAGAGTGACAGTGAACACTAAATTGGTAGTGAACTCTCTGCTCCTAGGGGTGGGTGGGTGGATGTGTATGTGCTTGTGTGTGTGTGTGTGTGTGTGTGTGTGTGTGTGTGTCACAGAAAGTTGAAATCCTAAAAACGTATCCTGGTAGATTCCATCTCCTTTAGTTTACAAAAGAGAAAATAAACTTCAAGCACCAAGTGAGTTGCATGAGCCACCCCACAGCTAAGATTCAAGCCCCAGGCAGAGCCAGAGCTTCCTGTACCACCCAGCACTGCCCTTCTGCTGTCTCTACCTCTGGCCTTGTCCGCACAACCTCCGAAATAAGACGGCACCTGCCACTTACACACGATGTAACGCAGACTTTCTCCTGCTCTGTGCGTCTCCAGAAATGACCTCCAAATCTCCTTTGAGAGTTGATTTGGGGGTCACAAATAAACTTTAGCCAGTAGGCAAATTCACAAATACATAATTTGAGACTAATAAATAGCGGGCTCTATTTGTTAATTTGGCTCATTTACTACTTGTATGACAACTACTGTCAAAAGGCACTGCCAAAAGCAATGATTTAATATGATAAATGAAAGTGCAGACCATGGTGTGCATCTTACCTTGTTGTTGAGCTTGGAAAGGCTTCCCCCCTCCATTATAGTGCTTTCCACTTCTATCAGCCACAAAGCCCGAGGATAAGGTCACATTCGTGGGCTGGTTTCTCATTTTCTTAGCATGTTTTCTTTCTTTTGCGTTAGACATTTCTGGAAAGGAAGTAACAAATTTAATACAGGGAGAGCTGACCCCCATTCAGTAATAGTACATTTAACACATATTTATCCAACTCAGACTTTGATCCTTTCACATAATAAATCTTCATGACACCAAAGGAAATTTCAAGGTTATAAATGGTATTAACACCCAAAACCCTTTTAAATAGAAAAAATGAAATTTATTGATGGAGGAGTTCCTACGGAACATTCCAGTTTGTGTTGCCAAATAATTAAGTCATATACAAATGTTGACACTGCAAAAAGTCTGTTGGAAGAATTAAAAAGGAAGTGAGATTAGATCACCATGCATAAAAAATTAGTTAAAACATTTTATCATGATTCCTAGGTGAAATAAGAACCACCTGAATCTACGTCACGTACAACACAATTCCAAGTTTAACATAAATTACTGATGCTTTCATTTCTACTACTGCAATGACAGGCTCTATGATTAATTTACAATACAACAGATGGTTTTGAAGTAAAAAAGGATAAAGAGTAAACCCCAGTAGAGCCTCCTAGATTTACTCACTAATTCTCAAACTCAACACCCCTCCCTTTCTCAGTGATTCAGTTTAAAACATTTGTTTTCTATTTTAAAATGAAATTCATTAATAACATAAGCTATTAAGAGACACACTTTGATCAAAAGGCACCCCATAATATATGCCTTAACTGTAAGAAAAGGACTAAAAAATAATTTTAATAAAACAACATGCAACTATTTCACCACTATTGTACTAGATGACCTTTAAACATAGAGATTTTCAATCCAGAGGATAATCACATCAATGCAAACGTGGGTACAAGCACTGGCACAATCCATAAAGCTGGAGAAGGGTCCTGGAAGCCCCTATCCCAAGCAACAGACATTAACTCATTATTGAGTATAGGGAAGCCTGCAAGGTCTGCATAGACACTAGAAAGTAGGGAAATTCAGTGCAGTATTTACCAAGATGTTCTTAACATGTCAGGATTTAATACTACTCTCTACTTCTGCCTACACATAAAATTACCATGTAGGCAACAGGTACAAAGGCAACGCCATACAGGGGTTTATACTTCGTGCCTCAAGGAAATGTGACAATGACACTGGTGACAGTTTTCCAAGCGGGTTGTTATGATTTAGATCTAAAGCATTCCCCCAAAAGATTATGTGCTCAAAGGATGGGACTTGGGAAGGCAATGGGATCATGAGATGATAATTTGATGGCATTACTGAGAGGTGATGGGCAGAAGACAGGACCTAGATGAAGGGAGCAGATCATGGAGCCATGACCACCACCAAGGTCCCCAGCCCCTTCCTCTCTGGCTCTTTTCCTCTTTCTCTACTTCCCTGGCTGCCATGGGGAAAGGAGCTTTCCTCCTCCATGATATTCTTGCTTCACCCTAGTCTAAAACCAATGCAGCCAGATGGTCATGGATTGAAACCTCTGAAACCGCAAGCCAAAGTAAGTCTTTCCTCCTCTAAGTTGTTTTTTTCAGGTATTTGGTCACTGAGATAAAAGTTAGCACAATGGTAAACATTCCTTGGAAAAGTGTCTCCCCCCGAAAAGGTACAAACTTGCTTTGATTTATTGCATTGCAGCAAATTTCAGTGTATACTAAAACTCTGAAACCAATGCTTTTATACAAACCAAATTTAGGTACTAAACCACTATGGGCTCTTCTGTACATGCAGGATATCTAACATTCCTGGCCTCTCACCAGTAAATGCCACAGTGGTTGGCTGGCAATCATTATGCCAACCAAACACTGTACAAACTTCCATCCACATCAGGATTGCACATTCCCATAGTCACTAAACTTAAGCACCCACCATTCACTTACTATACCTTCTTTTCCAATGTAACATCGCATCCAAAATTAAGAGTTGCTAGTGTGGTAGTATTTAAGAGCTTTTCTTTTGGAGTTAGAAAAGACCTGAATTCAATCATCTTTCTCAACACTTTTTAGTTAAATAATCGTAGGAAATTATTTTCCCTGTTTGAGCCTCAAACTGTTCTTCTATGAGTGGGAATAATCACAAAGCTGTGAGAATTAAGTAAACACTATGTACATATTTACAAGGCTTTGGCCAGGCATGGTGGTACATGCCTGTAACCCCAGCACTTGGAGACTGAGGCAGGAGGATCACTGTGAGTTCAAGTCCAGCCTGACATAAATAGGGGGACCCTGACTCCAAAAAACAAAGCTTTAAAAATTAGGTTTAGGCTTCACAAAATGCATATATATATAGATACATAGATATAAAACTTCATATATTTATACATTATATGTTATATAAAATGTTATATATTTAAAACATATATGTATATATCTAGCATAGGGTTGTACAAACTAAATGCTCAGTTTAAATTAGCTATTAGTCTTAAATAATAAGTAACAGGAATTTGTGTCATTTCATAGTGTTACTCCACTGTGCTTTTTTACCTCAATGAAAGACAACTAAAACTGTATCCAAAAACATTTTTCTTTTTTTTTTGTTTTTGTTTTTTTTCTCCGATACCAGGAATCAAACTCACGACCTTATGCTTGCCAGGCAGGCACTGTACAGCTGAGCTAAATCCCCAGCCCCCTCAAAAACATTTTTCACATTGAATATGTAGAAAGTGAGTGGAGTTCTGCAAAACTAGTTAGCTAGTGAAGCACATGCATGATTCTGACCAACCTGCAGAAAAACCATTCAAAATATTTTACAAGCAACTTAATCTGCCTACTCTTATGTACTTGCACCAGAGGAGGACTACCCTAGGATCCCTGGCTATGCTCAGGGTTAGAATGGGCCAAAGGCAGGCTGGGGATGGGGGATTAAAGTACCCCTGGGATGTCACATCTCTATCTTTGGTTCCAGACTAAATGATGAGGAGCCTCAAAGCTAGGCTGGGATGACACGCCTGTTGTCATCCCAGCATTCTGAAAGGCTGAGGCAGTAGGATCACAGTTTGAGCTTAGTTTAGTGACTAAGCCAGATGCGGTCTCAAAATAAATAAATTTTAAAAGGGTGGGATGTAGCCCACCACCAACATCCTGGGTTCAATGCCCTGTACCAGGAGAGAAGAAAAGAAAATGAGGAAACAACTAGTAGTGATCCAACAGCAGAAAGAATAACTATAGAATGCATCTGTATGAAGTCTAAAGATGTAGCTTAAAACTGCTCCTAGGAGAAATTTTAACTCTTAATATACAAGTCACTTAATATATAGTTTGCGTCTGTTTTCCTGTTCATTTAGTCAAAAGTTAGAGTACTAAATATATCACAAACTTTATAAATATGTTTTCCCCAAATCTTCAAGTAAAATGGACATGTCATATTTTCTCACATAGCTTATTATCCTCTGACCAGATATATTCCTTGGTATTGTGGACTCCAGCTTAACAACCTGGGAACAAACCACAGATATCTCTACCTTCGTCCAGATCTAAAAATTTGCTGATTCAGACTTGATAGAACATCTGCTGTTTAAAAAAAATCATACAGTGAATTATTTTATAAATTAAAATATCTTCTAATTATCCAATTTATTTTTTTTAATCAATTTTAAATAGCTTTTGAGTACTTACCATGCACCTAACAATTTAGGGGCTTCTGTAATATCACAGAGGTATAGGATATAGCCTGTTTGCTTAAGAGTCAATCTTATCAGCTAACAATGAGCATGTTACGTGCCAGGCACTGTTCTACATGCTTTATGCACTAAATTCTCACAATACTACTGAGGGAGGTACTGGGGTCTATTCCCATTTTATACATAAAGAAACTGAAGCATACAGCAGTTATATAACTCATCCAAGGCCACTAAGCTTCTTGTGATTGTTCTGGGATTCAAATGTGGCAGTCTGGCTCTATTCGCCATTTTTGTTGTTTTGTTTCGTTTTTTGGAGACAGAGTCTTGCTATGTAGGTCAGGCTGGCCTTCAACTCACTATGTAGTCCAGGCTGGCCTCAAATACTGAGATCCTCCCGCCTCGGCCTCCTCAGTGCTGGAAATTGAAAATAAAATCATACATGAAAAAATACTATATTTTGGAGTATAGCAAACCAGGAAGCTCAGCAAGAGAAAAAATGAATCAGCAGGAAAAGTCAGTATAAAAATAAGATTTCAATTGTCTGGAATTTGGGTGGAAAGGGAAGAAAGTATTTTGGGAACCTACTGTATAAGCAGGGATGAGGACTCTGGATGACTAAAGAGGGATGACAGAACAGAAGAGGATGAAACAAAACAGGCTAAAGGAGGCCAGACTAAAAGGACTTTTGTTCCAGGTTAGAGCCCTAAACCCGAAAAAGATCTAAATTCTACAAGTTCTTCAGCCAGAACTAAAAAATAAAAGTTTTAGCATTTCAAAGAAAAAAATGAGAAGCAATCAAAGGGATTCTCATAGTACATTCTGGAAGCAGGGAGGACAAGGATCTTTTTTCCTCACTGTATCCCCGGTACACAGCTGACTGCCACGCACAACGTAGGGGCTCAATATTTGCTGAATGCAACCACGCACGCTTAAATGCAGAAGTGGTGCGGGCCTACAATGCACATACTAACAGGATAAGAAATACTCAGCCCTCCTGACACAGCACGACCTGCCCAGAGACATCTCTGGACTATTATGTGGATGAAGATCACACGTTCCTTTTGAAGGCAGATCTCAGTCCTAAGGCTCGGGCCGCGATCCAAGGCGACCTCGCAAAGCGGTAGGAGCCCTCCAGGGCCAGAACGTGGGAGGGGCGGGAAGGCGGACAACGCCCCAGCCTCCGCGCGGTCCCTCGAAGGACCCATCGTGTTCCCTTCGGGTGGCAGAAGGGCGCAAGCCTCTTCCCAGGACGGCTTCCGCCCTGCAGGGCAAGGAGGCGAAATGACAGACCCGGGGGCCCAACCGCGGGAGACCGAAGAAGGTTCGGGACCGGGAAGAGCGGCCTCGGGCGCAGGCAGCAAGAACCAAAGGTCAGCAATCTGAGACACTAAGCACTGGGCCGCCCCACGCAGGGGCTCCTCGGACTCGCGGACCCTGGGGGGAACCAGCGCCTCACGACTTACTTGCCAGACGTTCTCGGAGCTCCCCGGGTGAGAATGACAAGATTCCGTGACACTCCCTCCCAGGTAGAGGCGACCGGCGCGGCCAGGGAGCGAGATGACGCATGCGCAGCCCAGGCCGCCGCGTCCACGTGGCTCGGAGTCGCTCGCCGACTACAGTTCCCAGAATGCCTAGTGGTGGGCGGAGCCACACCGGGCTGCTGGGTCAGCGAGGTAAAACAAGATCCCGGCGGGAGCTAGTACTTTTCACTGAAGGACCGCGCGAGACGAGGATAAGCTATGACGTCCCTGATCAAAAAGGTGATCAACTCGGCGAAAGCCCCCAAGGCCATTGGGGCTTACAGGTAATGTGGCTGTGGGAGCACAGAAAAACCCCAGGCGTGCGGGGTAGAATTGGGAACCCGAGGGGACCGGGAGCTCGTGCTCCGAGGACTTCGCTCCCTCCGGGGCTGCGTGGCTTCCCGCCTGCCAGAAAGCTTTCTCTGTTTAGACGTGGTCTGAGCCGGGTTTTTGTTCAGGATTTTTTGTTGTTGTTGTTTGTTTCCGGGTGGTTTTTTTGGTGTTGGGTTTTGTTTTTTTTTTTTAACACCCTGGGGAGTTTATTGGTGACAGCTTTGTTAACAGCTTTATTCACAAACCGTAGAATTCACACCTTCAACGTAGACAATTCAAGGGGCTTGAGTGTACTCAAAGTATATGGCTATCACCGCTTTCTAATCTCAGGACATGTGCATCACCCCAAAGAGAAATTCCGTATCCATCAGTATCCCCTCCCTGCCCTCACCTTCCGACCCAAAAACCCTGAAGCTATGATCCACCTCGATGAATTCATCTGTTCTAGGTATTTTCTAAAATAGAATCCTTTCCGTCTTTTACTTAGCACAGGATTTGGTCTAACCCCCTCAATTTAAAGGGTAAAATCCCATCAACAGATGTGGTTGTGTCTTAGAGATGCAGCCGAGTTCTTTTCCCAGAAGTGTCTAGCAAATCCCTGCGAATCTACCCAGCCCTTGGCTTTTACAACACGTATAGAGAGGTGTGATATTTATGAATTTATTGGCCATACTTATTTGCCACAAATAAATCAGACGTAACTAATAACCAAGTTCATTTTCTAAGATTGTCCTATATACTCTAGCTAAATGTAATGAGCATGAAATATTGCTAAGCAGGAAATAACATAATCATATCCCTTTTAAGAAAAGAAGTTAGGGCGGGGGATATAGCTCAGCGGCACAAGCACCTGCCTGGCAAGTGCAAAGTGTTGAGTTCGATTCTCCGTACCAAAAAAAAAGAATTTAGTAATAATTTGAGGGGCTGGGGATATAGCTCAGTGGCATAAGTGCCTGCCTGGCAAGCGCGAGGTCATGAGTTCAATCCCCGGTGCTGCAAAAAAATAAATAAATAATAATAATAATAATAATAATAATTTGAATAACTATTTGGAGAACAGAGTGAAATAGGGAATATTAAGACTATTACAATGTACGTAAAAATCAGTAATCTTTTATCCTTGTTTCCTAATCCCTCTCCTTAATCACATAGTGATAGCATTTAGAATAATTTTTTACTTCATTTTTTCAATTTTAATTTTACAGTTATTACATGTTTTCAGTACATAATGATTACATTCATCATGGGGAGTTGGTACATAAACATAACACATCTTAATTGTTTTTTCTTTTCTTTTCTTTTTTTGTTCTTGTTTTTTGAGCCAAGGTCTCATCATGTAATCCAGGCTGGCTTTGAATTTGCAAGGATCCTCCTGTCTCAGCCTCCCAAGTGCTGGGATTACAGGCATGTGCCACCACTCCAGGCCATTAATTCTTTTATTGATCTCCTACCTCTCCCCTCCCTTTTTTAGTTCAAAGCAAAAGTGACCCATAAAAAAAAAATCTGTGACACTTCCTCCTGACAACTGCTAAAAGAGCATAGGTCTCTCTTGACCTATTTAAAAATACTCTTGTATTTTTAAAAATACTCTCCTTTGCTCAAGAGAGAAAACATTAATATCCTGGTTGACCTTGAGGTAGGTCAGCTTCTTGGTAAAGCAAAGCAAGCAGAACAGAGGGGCACTGTCTTGGTGTGAGCCAGCATAATGAAAGCTGTGGATCTGTTTCAGAGTGCAAGAGTTTGCAGAATATTGTATCCAAAGGACGCAGAACACAAGTTCCAGATATGGTCCTTATTTTCACTAGTTTCTGTTGAAGAAAACCACTTGTGCACTTAACCTGGTAAAGTTCACTGGATATGTTTTAAGAACTTCTTGGAAACAAGAGTTTTTGTCTTGGAGTTTGTAGTAAGAATATTTTTCTAAAATCCTGGAACCTCTCCAGAAAGAATTGAAATGGGTTGAGTGAATTTAAATGTGTCACCAGCCCCTGGCATTAGGATGGAGGTGGTGTTGTCACTAATTACGTAGTCATCTCAGCACACTGCAGGGTATTCATTCAAGGACAGGGCCTTGAGAGATTCCAGCATCTCAGTGCTATTGAATTGCTTCCCACTTTGTAGCACACCAGCCAGTAAATACGGTGGCATAGACTGTGACATTGTGATTATCAGAATGCTATTTAAAATGTTATTCCCTTTGATCTGGAAGTAGAACAATTCACTTTTGAGTCTTCTGGAACCTGACAACTTGTCTATGGATAATAGGATTCTTATGCTGAGGAAGTAGTATCATGTATCCACTTATTATGTGAATAGACCTCTTTAAATCACTGAGAGATAACTCACACAACTCAGAGGGTCTCAGAGTTCCAGTGGTTTCTTTTGATTCTCAAAAATAAGTGGGTTTTTATTATCATTATAAAGTTTTTGATAAATGACAATACATGAGTTTAAACTCCATTTCAAACGTCAGAAGAGAGGACAGTTGATAATGTTAGCCAGTGATAACAGCGGAAATATGCAGGACAGGTGATAGTGTTAACTAATGGTAGTGTTCAACCTGAGAAAAAGTTACTGATTACCCTATCCCAATAATTATTTGTTTGAGGACCAAGGTGAAAGCCAGATAGTGGAGAATTCTCAGGCCCGAGGGAAAGGCTTCATTACTTGCTCAGGGGAAATGTGTGTGTAATGCTTTTCAATGTAGTTTTATTTATAATACTAAAATACTGGAAGCAAAGGTGACTAGTAAATAAAGTACATTCATATAATGGAATGCTGTGTAGCTGCCTTTTTTTTAATTTTAAAAATAAAAGGAAGAAAACATTAACACACAACATTTTACAAAACACCAAAAGAACAATTCAGACAATACGGAGTTACAAACAAAGTGGTAAGAAATTAACAATGCTTGTTGTATTACATATTGATATCTTCAAAGTGGTTTCTTTTGAAAACAGATAGAGACATGCAGTATTGATCAACCAAGGACTCACTGACAGTTTCTTTCAGCAAAGAAATAGAAGACAGTAGAACAGCCATGTTAACTATCCTGTATATACATACATACAAAATTTCTCCTTCGAATGAGGTAATCTGAGCAACTTTGTTGAAGATAACAATATGTAATATAACAACCATGGTTCCTATCACCTTCTTTTGAAATTCTGTATCTTTTTATTGTTTTTGTGTTTTTTTGTTTTTGTCTTGGTTATTGGTATTTTATTTTCTCTTTAAAGTAAAAAAATGAATGAGAAATGCTACATGTAGTCATGGAAGATTTTTGTGATTTATCACTGAGTGAAAAAGGAAATGTAAAAGTATAATATACCATATTTTATGTCAAACAAGGAAGAAATATATGTGTGCATGAAGAAATGTATGTGTGCATGTCAGTTTATATGTGCATGAAGTAAAGAATACAGCAATAGGAACAAAATCGGGATGCCTGTAATCCCAGCACTTGGGAGACTGAGGCAGGAGGATCGCCTTGAGTTCAAGGCCAGCCTAGTGAGATCTTGTCTCAAAAAACCAAAAATAAAAGAGGAACGATCACTATCTATAGGGGCTAGGCACAAACAAAGAGAGAGACTTTTCACTGCTGTTCTTCATACATTTTGTGGTTTTTTGGATCTTGTGAAAATGTGGTTGAGAAGACCAGGGCAAACTTCATGACATAAAAGGAGAAAGTTTGGGTCACAGGTCATAGGTCAGGGATAGAACACTTGTCCACCCCGAGCGTGAGACCCTGGGTTTGATTCCAGCACTGCAAAAGAAGGAGGAGAAGGAAGGAGGAGAAGGAGAAGAGACAAGATTATTAAGTTAAGAGTATCTTAAATAAGCATACAAATGGTAAAATAAATACTAAGATTTCTCTCTTCAGTTTCAAAAAACAGGCAGCTTCTTTGTTCTGAAACTAACACATTTGCTAGAAAAGGGTGAACTGTTTGGCATTGCTTTGGGGTATCAGCATAGTTTGGGGTTTTCCCTATGACTTTATCCTAATCCCGAAATTCAGCAACCTCACTATAAAAGTAAGCCCTTGGCAGTAATGTGGCGTACCATCAAACGTGCGTCCTAAGTTACTCCGTAGCAAGCAATGACTGGGCATGTCTGAGAATTTCTTATTTGGGAACTGCTCCTGGCACTTTTTTGTTTCACAGCTTTATTGAGGAATACGTTACTTATAAAAAAAAAAATCCATTTTGCGCATAGAATTCCATGAATTTTGGTAACTGTAGCGTTGCTCGTCTGCTACCACAGCCAACTTTGCAGAGCATTCCCCTCACTTCCGGCACATTTCCTCCCTAGCCATCTGTATCCGTTCCCCACCCGGCTTAGGCAACTACGGGTACTCAGCTTCCCGCTGCCATGGTTTGTCTTTTCTACCATTTCATATAAATGAAATCAAACACTATATATTCTTTAGTTGGATCTATCAAGGGTTTGTTCATTTACTTTTCTGGGTATCATGAACCCTGACATTCTAAGCATTTATGTGACGTCTTTGGATACCTGTTTTCATTTTTCTTGGGGATGACAGCAGCTTTCTAGAAAGAAACTCCTGAGCTGTGCATTGGGTGTATATTTAAATTTTTAAGGATCTGCCGCAGCATTTTCCAAAACGGCTGTGCAGTCTTGCATTCCTACCAATGTTGGGGACCACTACAAAGTGGCTCCGAGCAGGATTTAATATTAACCAATTGGCTTTCCATGTTTACTTGTGAGTTGTCTGAAGGCCACAGCTGAGGATGTCTGGCTCCAACCCCAATTAACTACAAGGAGACTGCAGCTGCAGGCATCTCGTGCTGTGAAGGCCTTCCTGGAGATTACATAGTTCTCCTAAATTACCATAATTTATGACTCGGAAAAGTCCTGCCCAGATTTCTTGAGTATCCTCCTCCTTTGTAAACAAAATAAATATGGGCGCCCAGAGAAGTCCTGGACTAACTCAGAGCATACTGAAACTGTAAGGGAGTTAGTCCCTCCCGGGGCCCTAAAATCATTGCTTTTGTCTGCATTTATTTAAGCCTTCATGGTCCACTCGCTTGGGAGATTGCAGGCCTGATCATCTGCAATAACTTAGGGTTATTTAACCCGGTTTTTTATACACCAACAGTGTGTGAAAACTGCGTTGCTCCACATCTCAGCCAGTGCTCGATTCCATCGCTCGTGTGTGTGCTAGCTTATGGTTTGGATTTGCAGATGTGTAGTGACCAACAGCGTTGAATATCTTTACTCCCTAGTTCATTGTTTATCCTCTTTTGTAAAGTATCTCTTCAAATCGTTTGCCTATTTTTCATAAGATTGTTTTTCAATATTGGATCATAAGCATTTTTCATTTATTCGGTAGATAAGTCCTTTATTACTACATTTTGCAAATATCTTTCTCCCAGTCCATGGGTTATCTTTTCATGTTCTTAAAGATATTTGTTAAAGAAACTGTCAATGAGTCTTTGGTTGACCAGTATTGCATGTCTATATCTGTTTTCATGAGAAGCCACTTTGAAGATATCAATATGTAATACAACCACCGTTGTTAATTCCCTACCACTTTGTTTGGAACTCTGTATTGTCTGTATTGTGCTTGTGATATGTTGTAAAATGTTGTATGTCTGTTAATGTTTCCCTCCTTTTATCCTTAAAATAAAAAAAAAGAAAAAAAAAAGATATTTGTTGATAAAAAGCTTTTAATTATATTAAAGTCTAATTTATCTTTTTTAATTCTACAGTTTGTGCTTTTTAGCATTGAGTGTTGTAGTTATATATACACTGACTTTCTGTTTGTTGCAGTCAAGCTGTGTTAGTGGACAGGACCATTTACATTTCAGGACAGGTCGGCTTGGACCCTTCAAGTGGACAGCTTGTGCCAGGAGGGATAGTAGAAGAAACCAAACAAGTAAGCCACTGTCCACATTTGAAGTTTCCTTTTCTACTTCTTTTTAATATTGATGAGTGTTAAGAATCCACAGACTGATTTCTTAGTAGAGATTTCATGCTTTTTGAACCTAAGCATGGTGACGCATGCCTATAATCCCAGTACCTAGGAGGCTGAGGTAGGCGGATCACTGCAAGTTCATAGCCAGCCTAAACTACAAAGTGAAACCCTGTCTCAAAAACAAAAACAAAAAAGCTTTTTAAGCCACTCATTGATTTAAAACAGTTCTTGATTAAAGAACTGCAGCTAGAAGTTTAGTGAATCTTTTAACTAAACATCAATATTCCCACCTTGCTGCCACTAAGGTGCCTTTAAACCTGAATTATCAAAATCAAATAACATGTTGCCACTTTCATGTGGATTGGGAAATATTCTTTGCAAGGCCATTGACCTCGCTTACCCAGCTCACCCCCAAAAAGTTACCACCATGGAAGTAAAAGGTCAGTATTTCGTCAGTAAGAGAAAAATATCAAAGGTTACACATAGCATGTTCCTTTAAAAAAAAGTATTACATAATTCTAATCAAATAATAGAATTAAATTGTAATTTAATGCATTGATTGGGCTGTTTATAATACCCAACAATAAAAAATAAATGTCCATCTATAAAGAACTGGTTGAGCCTGGCATGCTAGCACATGCCTATAATCCCAGCACTTGGGAGGCTGAAGCAGGAGGATTGTTGCAAGTTCAAAACCAGCTTGGGCTACAAAGTGAGCTCAAGGCCATCCTGAACTACATAGTGCGATGCTGTCTCAAAAAGACAAAAAAAAGTACTAGTTGAATAAATTATGCTAGATCTATATAACTAAATTCATATGGAAAGATTACATGCTAAAACAAGCATTCAGGACAGTGCGTACCTTACGCTAGCGCGTGTGCATGTTTGTGTGTGAAAAATATGTACACTTGCACTGGTAAGCGGATTGAATGTCTCTAGAAGAATATGTAAGACACTAGAAGCTAGTTACCACGGGAGAATGGGAGTCCAACGGTGGGAGATAGCATCTTGCTATTTATGCTGATGCTTTTGAAGTTTTTGCCTTATCCATGTAGCACTTACTTAAAATATTCATCAGTTTTAAGCATGCAAAACTATAATCAGGGCTGGGCGTGGTTGCACACGCCTGTAATCCCAGCACTCGGGAGGGTGAGGCAGGAGGATCGCTGTGAGTTCAAAGCCAGCCTGGGCTACAAAGTGAGCTCAAGGCCAGCCTGAACTGCATAGCGAGACCTTATCTCAAAAAGACCAAAAAAAAAAAAAAAAAAAAAAAAAAATCCTATAATCAAATGTTATATTATTGTCAGTAAAGAAGAGAAGAAGAATGAATTGAAAATAATAAGTTGAAGATAAGGCTAAAATGTGATGTTCTTCCAGAGGCCAGAGTTGTCCAACATAGACAGATTCACTAATATTTTCAGAAAATGGAAAAAAGAACCCTTTCACATCAATTATTGCTTTAAAAGAAAATGTGTTTTAATGCTTACCCGTCATTCTTATCTTTGAAGAATTACAGAGTTGGAATCCTGGAAATTATTTCTGCTTCAATTCCATGGATATGGACTGGAAACGATGTATTTTAGCACTTTGTTCCAGTCTTGTCCCTCAGAACAGGAGTCTTTTCACAGAAAGATGCATTCCACTAGAGGAAAACCAAGAAACCTGTGATTTGCTGGTGTGTTCTAAAAGAGTAGGAGAGTTTTTATGTCATGTGAGCCATAAAGAGGTATTAGAAAGATGAGTAGCCGCACTTAATGTGACACCAGTGCCTTAGACCTTTCTGCCTTGGTCCCAGGCTCTCACCAACATAGGCGAAATTTTGAAAGCAGCAGACTGCACCTTCAGCAATGGTGAGCAGCTGGGTTTTACTTCACTGTTAATTTCTGTCTGATATTTCCTTGTTTAGTTTTCTTTTGTGTTGTTTGTTTGTTTGGGGGGTTTTTTGTTGTTTTGTTTGAACCAGGGACTAAACTCAGGGCTTTCACCCTGAGCTATATTCTTAACTCTTTTTTTTTTTTTTTTAGTTTTTATTTTGAGAGAGGGCCTTGCTGAGTTGTTAAATTGCCCAGGCTGCATTTGAGCTTCCCACCCTCCTACTAAGCCTTGCGTAGTGCTTGGGTTGCAGCCACAGCTTGCAGTGATATGTCATGCCATATTTGTGTTAAATTTCAAAGTTGTTTTAAACTGGTGGGGGTGCACACCTGTAATCCCAGCACTCAGGAGGCTGAGGCAGGAGGATTGCCATGACTTCATTGCTAGCCTGGGCAACACAGTGAGTTCAAGGCCAGTCTGATCTACAGTTCAATACCTATCTCAAAAACAAAACAAAACAAAACAAAAGTTGTTTTAATGTTTGGGGACACAGCACTATTGCATTTTACTTCTTCAGTCCCATTTTAATCAAGACAGAGAAATATATATGTACTGTTTCTCTGTGTTTTTAATCAGACAAATAGCTAAGCCTAATGACAGTGTGCTTATCTTCTAGTGGTGAAAGCAACCATCTTGCTGACTGATATAAAGGATTTTGGTACTGTCAATGAAATCTACAAGCAGTGTAAGTAATCTGACTTTGTTACTACTTACTGTGTTAAAGAAAAATGAATTTGTTAACATAAATAAGTGTCCCTTATCAATTCATAGTGATAGGAGATGCTTAATAAAATAGCATCTGTCCTAAAAGAATCAATACTTTGATTAGAAACATACAATATAACCCATGGGCCAGCGATATAGCTCAATGGGACAGCACTTACCTGGCAAGCATGAGGTCGTGAGTTCAATTCCTGGTAAAACACACACAAAAAACTGATACACTATGTAAACCAGGAATAAGATCTAAGATATTTCTGTTGCATTTCTAAGATAGTATCCAAAAATCTTACAGATCCATTTGCCCAGAGCCTAATTGTGTTACACCTGCCTTTGGCTTTGGAAGCCTCCTCAAAGTTATTTATGGACACATGTTGTGTTTACTTATTTTTTCTGGGAAGCTAAGACATTTAGAAAAGTACTAAGAATTATATGAATTATATGGCTAAGTGTTTGAGCAAATCAGTGTGAGTTGCTTCTCTGAAATGTTGCATATATCTAAGAACTGAATAGCCATGCAGCACTCACTAGACTCTTTTTTTTTTTAAGGAAAGAGACATTTATTAAATCCAGGGAAAACCTTTATATGTTCAATAAAGGAGTATGAGAGCATACTGAATGCCCGGTGTAACTGCATTCATGTAGGCACAATAATGTAAACAACACGGGCCCAATGAAAGTTATAAAATGACTGCACTGGGAAGGACGGTGAGCAGACCTGAAAAAACAAAGGAGCACTGTAAGTGCTGAAAGAAAGTGAGAACAGGAGAATCAGAGGACAGAGGAAGAGGAACAGGGCTGTCTGTGGGATGCATGGAAGACAGTGGGCGCCTGTGTTTATAACAAGCCTGGTAGAAGTGGTTTACTTTGCAAACTAGGCACATGTATCAATTTGATAAAAAGAAAGAAACATGGCAGGTGAGAGATTAGGAACTGTCCCTTACAGGCATCAGAGAAATGGGCCCACAGTTGAGGGAGAGGTGGCTTCCAGTGATAGACTTTCGTGGAAGACTTCGTTCTGGTTTAGTTTAGTTTTGATGGAAGCCAGTACAGCGTGGAAATGAATGATGCAGCAGAGGGGGCTCTCTGGTCTGGGTGCTAGAGGGGCCTTAGGCAGGAGCAGGGCCGCCCGTCCTCGCTGCGAAGGCCGAGGAGCCTCCACAGACTGGGCCTGCCAGGGATGATGGTGCTATTCTCTTTTCCCTTCTCCCTCCCCCTTCCTTGTTCCCCTTCTCATTTGAACATTTTCTTCCATGTCCCAATATCTGTTATACATGTTGGACCTCATTTAAACTTTTGGTTTCTCACACCAGAGAAACAATGAGTATTTGAACGTGGGACTCACTGTTCTCTTGATTGTGCAATAACACTTCAATACATTATCTGGAAACTAAAATGAAATTCTTTTAAATTCAGATTTCAAGGGTAGTTTTCCTGCTCGAGCTGCTTACCAGGTCGCTGCTTTGCCCATAGTAAGTACATTTGAAAATGACTTATATACAGAATTTTACATTTCTGCACTGTGTTCCGAATACACCAAACTAAGCATTGTAAGGGAAATTTAAAAGTAAAAGAAAGGATATAATTCCTGTGTTCTTGGTTTTTTTGAGATAACATCTTGTTTTATAGCCCGACTGGCCTGAAATTCAAGATCCTCCTGCCTCAGCCTCCTGTGTGCTAGGATTGCAGTCACCACACCTGGCTTGCTTCCCAGGAATTTAAAGGCTAATATTTCATACATATTCAAATATTTCATATGTGGAAAAAAATGAAGAAACCTCATTTCTACAAACTGTGATCCATTCAGAGTTGGTAGCACGCATCTATAATCCCAGCACTTGGGAGGCTGAGGCAGGAGGATTGCCATGAGTTTGGCCAGCCTGGGCTACATAGTGAGACCCTGTCTCAAAAAAACAAAAACAAAACAAACTGTGAGCCAAAATAAACTTTTCTTCCTTTAAAAAAAAATTAAACCTTGTAAATCAAGAGTATTTAAAGGGGAGAGAAATTCCTGGGTGCGATGGCATATAGCTGTAAACCTAACACTTGGGAGGCTGAGGCAGGAGACTCACCATGAGTTTGAGGCCAGCCTGGGCTACATATTGAGTTCAGGGACACCTTGAACTACACAGCAAGACCCTGTCTCAAAAAAAAAAAATTTGTGTGTGTGAGAAAAAGTACTAGAGCAGCTGTGTTGTTTTAAAGTTACTCAGCGGGCTATAAATTTGAGACAGGATTTCCAGTTTTGCATAAAAATTTCGCTTAGTTGTTTAAGGTCTAAGGAATGTAGACCTTCCACTGGAAAAGTGCTCTCAAACCAGTGCATACGTATTGCTCACCACCCTAGTCTTGGTCTTCTGCACGGGTGGCTCTTTCCTGTCCCTCTGAGCCACACAGCAGTACAAGTAGAAGTCAGGCAAGAAGTTGCTCTCAGCTGACTTCTCCTTGTAATTTTCCACTAAAAATATGTCTCCCAAGAGTGGCATTTTTATTAATTAGTTGTTATGTGGAATGACCATTATCATCAAACGTACTAAAATGTTGGGTTTAGTAAAAAGAACTCTGAACTTGGACATGGGTTTTTGGTTGTTTTTTGTTTGTTATTTGCTTTTTCAGACAGGGTCTCAATACATAATTCAGGTTGGTCTTGAACTCACTATGTAACCCAGACTGGCCTTACACTAGCCGCAATCCTCCTGCCTCAGCCTCCTGAGTGCTAGGTTACAGCTGTGTGCCGTCACACTCGGCACCAAGACATGGGTTTAACCCTCTGCTATTTACATCTGTGACCACTTATTGGCCTGCCTCAGCTTCGGCTCATCATTTGATGAATTGGGAGCCCTGATGTCTAAGAGGGCTGCTGTGAGCATCGAGTGAGCTAAGCTATATGAGCCCGGCAGATAGCCTGGCCTGTTAGAGGTTCCTAGTGAATATCCCTTCCCCTCTTTCTTTGAGAAGTGTAATGCTAAAAGTATTACGTTGCTGTTAGTTGCCTGTTTGGGGCAGGTTTTACTGAGCTCTCTTAATTGGTTCAGAATTATGGAATCTGGTGTCTCCTTCCCTCACAGGGAGCCCGCGTGGAGATCGAAGCAGTGGCTGTCAAAGGGCCTCTCACAGAAGCCTCACTCTGAGCAGGCACAGGGCCTTCTGCCTGGGAGTTTCCGTCGTGCCTTCAGATCTGTAGCTTAATTTTTTTTTTTTAAGTATCTTAATTCTTACAACCCATGTTGGAAAGAACAAGTGTGACTAAAACAACCAGTGTTACGGCCGTTCCACCTCAGAGGGGATTTGTCACGCGTGGAAGGCTGGATAATGGGTCCAGTTGCTGTTGCGTGAATTACACTTCCGCGCACTCACCCTGCGCGGGGCGGGAGGAGCGCTCTGCCGTCCTGAGTGAAGGGGAACGCGCCTTCGGGGAGAGGAGTCGTCCTGGGAAATGCTACGGAGCGCACCTAATGCAATTAAATCCTACTAATTCAGCGAGGTGGCCTCTGTAGTTCTCATGTTAGACAGATGATTATGCCTTTGTTTGAGTAAAATTAAATCTTTCACACTTGGGTGGTAGAGCTAAAGGAGAAAAAATGGACCAAAATTTTATGCAGATGATATTTTTCTAATGGAAATAAAATAGACGTGCACATTTCCCTTGGTGTGTTTTTGTTCACTTAGTTTTTAACAGTTTACACGAGGCAGCATTACCGGATAAAAAGGGAAGGAACCATGCAGTTAAATCTCTGTTTTACTTCTCAAAGTTTATTTCTGACTTCTTACATTTTACACTGTTGTTTTTGGAGTATTTAGAACCATTTTTGTGTTTACATTTATAATTATTCAGTGTTTGTTGAAGTCTTTCTTGTTTGCTTCTTTTCTTTTCGTTTTAGAGATGGAGACAGCATTTCGCTGTGTTGCCCAGGTTGGCCTCAAAATTCCCAGGCTGCAACTGTCGCCCTGCCTCAGCCTCCTTAGTGGTTGGGATTCCAGGAGTGCCTTTGCCCCTAGCTCTTTAAAGTATTTCAGTAGTTTTAGTCAGCTAACCCTTATACAATAAATCTCAGTACAGAATTAAAGAGATTAAAAAAGAACGTCCCCCCCTTCCTCTCCATTCCACTAACCTCCCCAAAGAAACAAACCACTGCTAGGTTTAATACGTGAATTTTTGCTTTGTTTTGTTTATTTACATAAATGGAACTTTATATATTATTTTGAAGGTATTTCCAATATATATATCTGTATATCTATATATAGATATATGTGTAGAGAGAGATCTCATTTTTAAGACCCGGAGTTGCTGGGCGTGGTAGCGCACACCTGTAATCCCAGCACTCGGGAGGCTGAGGCAGGAGGATCCTTGTGAGTTTGAGACCAGCCTGGACTACAAAGTGAGCTCAAGGCAAGCTTGAACTGCATAGTGAGACCCGAACAAATAAAAAATTGTAAAAAACCACTGTGGAGTTTTCTTTTGTGTGGATATTCAGTGTTTTCAGAATTATATTACAATAGCAGGGCATGGTAGCACATGCTTGTAATCCTAGCACTTGGGAGGCTGAGGCAGGAGGATTGCCACAAGTTTGAGGCCAGCCTGGCTTATATAGTGAGTTTGAGGCCAACCTGAACTACGTAAGGAGACCCTTTCTCAAAAGAAATAAACAAAAACTTACATTCCAACAGTGCTACCATGACACTCTCACACATACACCTAACAGAGAATTCTGTGCTGGACTGTGAAGAGCAGCTGCAGAAAAAGCATGGAGAGTGGAGATTACTCCTGAGGTAAGGAAGATTATGCTTATGAAATCGGTGGAGGGTGGGCCTCCCTGAGATCACAGTGAAGTTAAAAATGTTGGTTGAGATTTATTGAACTTTTTTTTTTAACCTGTAGTAAATGTCCTCATATGGTAAACCAGAATGATTTTATAATGGAGAATCCACTCTGTGTTCCAACCTGGTCAGTATATGTTTATACATCTAAACATGCATGTTTATATTAGGTATTCTATACATTCTTAAATTCAGGCTGGTAATAGCCAGGCGTGGTGGCACCTGCCTGTAATCCCAGCACTCTGGAGGCTGAGGCAGGAGGATCACCTTGAGTTTGAGGCCAGCCTGTGCTACTTAGTGAGTTCAAAGCTCCCCTGAACTACAAAGCAAGACCCTGTCTCAAAAAAAAAGAAAATTTAAAAAAATTTCAGGCTGGTAATATTTTATTTAGAATATTTACTCTTACATTCATCTGGGAGATTGGCTTTTCTCTTGTAGAAGAGTTTATGGCTGTAAATATCTGTCCTTGAGTGCTTGAGAGAGTTGAGCTGGACTTGGGGGTAGTGGTTTGGTTTTTACTGTACTGGGGACTAAACCCAGGGCTTTCATACTGAGTTACATCTCCAGTCCTCCCCTCTTTTTTTTGAGACAGGGGCTTACTAAATTTCTCAGGCTGGATTTGAACTTGTGATCCTCTTGCCTCAGCCTCCCAGAGTTCTGGGATTACAGACATTCACCACCATGCCCAGCTTGGGCTGGGTATTTGCGGGGAGGGAAATGTTTAAACCATTCAAATTTCAGGAACATTCAGATTTTCTGGACATTCAGATTTTCTAGGACAATCACTAGATACTGATAAATGTGAAATCCTTCCTGTTGGCCTTTCAAGCATGTTTACAGGTAGAACAATCTCTTTGAAATGTGAGATACCTAAAAAAAAGTCACCCACATTTCCTTGCTGTTGTATTCCTTCCCTTTGACAGAGTATGTAAAGTTTGCTTTTTTTTCTCAAAGGCCACGTGGATCATAAATTTTACATGTTTCTATAACAACAGTTCAGAGAAACACACCAAGTATCTTAGTTACGTTACTCACTGCTGAGACAAAATACCTGCCACCCAACATTAAAAGAGGAAAGCTTTATTTCAGCTCACAGTTTGTAGAAGCTTCAGACCATAGCTGGCTGGCTCCAAGGCAGGGCGGCATGGCAGAGGAGAAGCAGTTCATGGTGTGGCAGGCAGCAAGCAGCAGCAGCAGCGAATCTCCCTTTTTCTTTTATCCCATCAAGGCTGCAATCGCTTTGGGTGATATTACCCACACCCAGGGTGGGGCTTGTTTTCACTAAATCCATTCAGCCACCCCTAGAAGTATGCTAATTCCTATCAGTGGACTAATTTAGTACACACACCTTTAATCTACTCACATACCCTAGATCTAGCCACTTCCAAAAAGCCCCACCTATGACTGCATGAGGCTTTGGGGGGGTGGGGAGGGTGGACATTTAAATACCATAACACCAAAATAGGCTTTCAAACTTTATTAGTCCTAATAATATTTATCAATCAAAATTACAAATCTTGAACCAATAGTAGAAAACAATTTTATAAAAACTTTGGCCATAATTCCCCCTATAGCCAGTTAGATTTAGTTATAAGGAAACTACCATAATTATACATATATGAGAATAGAAAACATTCGTCAGCAACAAGTATTTCCAGAATGCCAAGTTTGTATGAGGCCTTGCAGATACTAAGCTGCCTTTCCTGCCCTCCGAAGGGCTTACAGTCTTCTCACTTCTCCCATTTGTTCAGCAATAGTAAATTATTAAAAAATCATTCTTAAGTGAACTGTCCCTCTATCATAAGTCATAAATCGTAACCAGCTAAGTGCTAATACATAAGGCACGGTTGCTTCTGCGGCAGCACTAACCAGTATTCCCAAATCCAGCAAGGATCTCTGGTACCTTCTCTCTGACCTGTATCTCCAATGGCTTCCAGTGAGGGAAACCCAGGAGTGCTGTGCTCAGACCCTCAAAAGACTAAACATTCCACTAATCCTTATGTTTTGGCTAAGTTATTATTACAAGTTTTACAGCTTAAAAAAAAAATCCCTCATATCAACATGCTAACAGTGATGATTTTTTGATTGAGTTATGATTCCATCTTTTAAATTTATATTTTCTGAAGTTTCTAAGATGAACATGCATTTGTTACTAACAAAAAAAATTATTTTAATAAATTTTCCCTTGCAGTTATTATCTAAATAGCCACTCTGTGTCCCATGTAAGGACCTAGACAAAAACAATGCTATTTTTACCAAAGTTTTCTGAGGCAGGAAAACCACCAAGTTCAAACCCAACCTAGGCATCTTAGGGACTTACCAAGATCCTGTCACAAAATAAAAATAAAAACACAAAATGTAGCTCAGTGCAAAGGGCCTCGGGTTCAATCTTTAGCATCTTAAAAAATAGTTTTTTTTATTAACTGTGATCTCCAGGAAACCTGAAAGTAATCCATGCGGATTCACTGAATAACAACTAGCTGAAATCTACTAACCTGTCCTCCCACTGACCTGACAGGGGTGGTTGGAAAGGTTACCTATGGGCCTGGAACTTGTAGTGAGGAGCTGGGAGTACCAGCAGTATTTATAAGATGGGGTGCTGGTGATCCCTAACAAATCACGCCACGGGCCAAAAGAGCACAAACGTAAACCCTAGGAGCGTTATTCGACCATGGCCATCCAAGTCCCCTGATGAGAAATGTGGAAAAAACATTTTCCTTTTTCCAACTCTTGATTCAAAGGCAAGTATGAAACAGAATCTTTGTTAAAGGTGATATGGGTGTTTGCTCAAAAGCTGTGAGGCTTCCTAGGAGTTCTTACTCCAAAATCTAAAGGCGAAAAAGCAGCAAAATCACAGGTCAGCCCCAAACTTCTATACTGTGGGTTTCCCAGGGGAGAGGATAATTCCAGCCAAGCGTGTTGGGATCTAACCTGGGTATTTCCTAGATTTGCGTCTGGCAAAATGTCCATTCCCTACAGGAGGTGCTAGTTAGGAAATCACTGGTTCATCAATTCCCTCCTAATTAGGTACAGAAAATAATCATTATCTCAGTCAGACATAAAGTGGGTTAAAGTGGCCATACTTTTTATGTAAAAGAGTTTTTTAAAAGTTCTATAAATGTCTCGGTAGCCACACAAAAGGCTAAATACAGTATAGAAAGTACCAAAATGTATACAAATTTCTAGCCTTTGGAGATTTCAGTCATTAATGGAAAATAATGAGATTAATAAACAATTTGGAAATGTTTGGGTTTTTTGGTTTTTTGAGATTAAAGTCTCAATATGTAGTTCAGTCTGGCCTTGAACTCGCTGTATAGCCCAGGCTGGCCTCAACCTTGCGGCAATCCTCCTGCCTTAGCTCCTGAGTGCTGGGATTACAGGCATGTACCACCATACCCCCTGGTTTGGTTTGGTTTCATTTTGAGACAGGGTCTCACTATCTAGTTCGGGCTGGCCTGGAACTCGAGGCAATCCACCTCCATCAGCCTACTGTGTGCTGAGACTACAAGTGTGTGCCACCATGCTGGAAGTTTTTTATATTGGAAATAGAGAGTGCTTTTTGAGAAAGAGTTCTTTTAAGAATGAGTCTGTACACTGGTGCCTGCCTGGCAAGCGCAAGATCCTGAGTTCAATTCCAGGTACAAAAAAAAAAAAAAAAAAGAATGAGTTTGTAATGATTGATACATTGTGTGCACTTGGGAAGTTTAGAAGTTTAACTAGCAAATCAGCAGGGGGCCAGTGTTGTGACTTTGTAAACATCCTCACCCTGTGCAAGAGGAAGGCAGGGAGATGGTGTGAGTGCTACATGCACCCTGCGGGTGGTAGCCTGCTTATAGTATAAGGGAGGAAAAGAGGCTTGCTCTTGCCCTTTTGAGCCTGTTGCTTTTGTTTCTTCTGCTGCCTTGAACTGTTGCCCCTGGGCCATGCACCCTGCCTTGGAGCCATCTGACTAGGGACTGAACCCTCCACAAACTGTGAGACTTTAACTTTGGGTGTCAGGTATTTTGTCCCACCAATGAGAAAACAGTAACCAAGACAGAGTTCTAAATAGATCTCTTTAACATATGTCAGAGATTATTTTAAAACAAGATATGCCACCCATGAGAGAGCGGGCCTTTATGCATCTTAATTGAAGTAATCCTATTTCAGTGCGCGGTATAAAGGACAATTTCACTAACGGGGGTGAACATTCATATTATATACAAAGCTCTAATGTATCTTTTTTCAACTTTTCTTTTTAATTGACCAAAAAAACTAGATATTGGTGAAGCACAATAGGATATACTGATGTTTGCGTACATTCTGAAATGATTAAATCAAACTAATTAATATATCCATCAGTCACATACTTGTCTGCCTAGATGTTTTCTACTTCCTAGATGCTTACATAAAAATTCCTTCTGGTCAGGGAAAAACCTTTGGATTGAAAAAAATGTATCTCAGGCTGAGGATGTAGCTCAGTGGTAGAGCACTTGCCTAGTATGTACAGGCCCTATGTTCAATCCCAAGCACTACAAAAAAAAGAAAAAGAAAAGTACCTCAAAAAATAAGTTACAGGCCCGGCATGGTGGTGCACACCTATAATCCCAGCACTCGGGAGGCTGAGGCAGAAGGATTGTTGTGAGTTCGAGTCCAACCTGGGCTTACAAAGTGAACTCAAAGCCAGCCTGAACTGCATAGTGAGACCCCGTCTCAAAAAGACAAAAAAAAAAGTAAGTTACAGTATATCAGTTCTTGATAGTGACCTAAAAATACCACTATTGTTTGTAATTACACCAAACACAAAGCTATTCACCGAGTTTGAGCAGTCTTGACATAAAAGTGGACTTTCCTCAATTTCCCAGATAGGGTTGGATCAGTGTCACATAAATTCATGTTTTAAATGTATTATTTTCTAGTGGACCCTTGGTATTATTCATTGATCGATCCAACAAATGTTCAGAGTGTCTATTGTGTTCCTTTAAAGGCACTAGATGCTTAAATTCAAAGGTACATAAAACACAGTGCTTGTTTTCAATGAAATCACAATCCAGCTACTTTATTTTGCAAATAGGATGATGTCATTTGCTCAGGGAACTGCTTTTGTTTTTGGGGGGGGGGGTTGTTTTGTTTTGTTTTGTTTTAGACAAGGTATTACTATGTAGTTCAGGCTGGCCTTGACCTCAATATCTATCCCAGGCTGGCCTCAAACTCCAGGCAATCCTCCTGCCTCAGCTTCCTGAGTGCTGGGATTACAGGTGTGCACCACCACACTCAATTCTAGGAACTCCTTTTGTTTACCTGAACACTTTAAAGCCAAAGGCATAAACTAATATCAAAAACAGAACAAAGCTGATATACTCTTCCTATATCCTATAATCCTATGATTAATTACAAATCATCTTAGTAAGTCATTTTAATGTAGAATCTAAAGTAAAAAAGTCTAGTTAATTCATTTGGGCAGTTACCTCTGAAAACATGTATTTACAAATACCATAAAAAAACCAAATATTTTTAGAATTCTACTGTGATATTCATAAACACCAGGCACTTAACAGTGGGCACACTGACTGTGTCATTTATTCACAGTTATTTACCAAAACCCCTTGCCAATTTCGAAAGAATTCTTGAAAGGTGACTTTCTGTGGTACATCATTTTAACATGAATGAAATCATAAATGCTTTTAAAATTTTGATGTCTTACCTCCTTTCCACTTCTAAAACCTAATATTGAATAATAGTCATCTAAAAAAATGAATAGGACCCAGGAAGACTCCTCATAGGCAATAAAACTAGGACTTAATTCTTGCTGTTTGTTGCCTCTGAAATACATCGAAGTCAGTTAGCTCAAAATGCTTTTCATGCTAGTCAAGAGGATAACACCAGCTGAACCGCACGTAAGTAAATGACCAGCTGATTCAAAATGGCACTTGGAAAATGGAGCCTTTCGCTGTAAAAGTGCTTCATCTTGGACCAGCACCATAGTCTGCGTCCCTTTGGAAAGCATCTGTTAACGTATTTAGTATACTGTGATGCAAGGGGTCTGTGGCAGCGGGAAACTTTGGATAAGGAGGTAATTAGATGAACTACTTCCCAAGGTTCGTACCAGCTCTAGTTCCTAGGGCAGGACAGAAATACATGTAATTCATCCCATGGTTTTTGGTATTCATTCTTGTCCCCTTGTAATCATACCGTGTAACTATTATGATGACTTCTTTAAAATGTGCTAACTGCGTTCTCCAGCCACCTGTGCCTGTAAGTTTATGCTTTCTTTGTGGTGTCTCATTTTTTATCCTGAAAGGACCCATTGCCGCAACCACCGAAGTCACTCGCACATTTATAAACAATCCTATACCCTGGTTTTCACTGGCTCTGTCTATTGTCATTTTAAATGCATAATTATCCTAAGTAGCTAAGAAAACCTTCCAGCTGAGCAGTTTTATACAAAAATACAATCAAGAGCAGGGCTCCAACAGTCTATCTATTATCTCACTTTCTGTATAAAACATGCAGCCGTAGCAGATAAGATCCGCAGCCGCGGGGGCACCACCATTTTTCTCTCTTCCCTGCATACCACACTGTGTCTGCCCTCCCTCCAGTCCCCACCCCAGTCTAGGTGGCTGCCGAAAGATCCACGGCTTCTCCTGTTTCTTCTTCTTTCGTTTCGGCTTCTTCACTTACTTTCTCATTCTCCATCTCTGTTTCCACCTGTTCTCCCGTCTCACCTGGGAAAATAACCACAGGACGTTAAAAGACATTCACTTACTGTAGTACTAGCCACAAGTTACTCCATAGTTTGTTTCCGGCCAGTGGGGGCAGTGTCTGCTCTTTGGGTCTATACAGCAAGTTTCTTCAGTGGAGTAGGAAGGGCATTCGCCCAGGTTCCCTCAGCGTCTGAATGGCCAGTGTCAAGCCGCTTAGCATCTCCAAGTCTTGGCTCTCTCTTCAGTAAAACCTGGACGCAGAACTACCCCAGAAATGGCAGTCAAACGTATTACAAGAGAAGGTTTCATCTGTATTTATAAATCAAAAAGTGGCCCAGGGGTGCCCCAAGTCTTTTATTTGGCCTCTATGGTTGCTCACATTTAAAAGTCAGGACATTGCCCATACAAATCTGTTTCCCTAAAAAGTTGGTTTGGGAAATGTTGATCCCTATTCCCACCGCCGGAGCCAAGCAGCAGCTTCTTCTGGTTTTGGTTTTTTGGTTTTTCTCCGGTACCGGGAACCGAACTCACGACCTTGCGCTTGCCAGGCAGGTGCTTTTGCCGCTGAGCTAAATCCCCAGCCCAGTAGCAGCTTCTTCTGACGGGGCTCTGACGCCCTATTCATCGAGGCCCCTGGGGCTCCCCACGGAATCTGATGTGCCCCCTCACTTAACTCGTGTCCGGATTCAAGGCCCAACAAACTTCCAATTTTGCCAACTCTTGTCTAAAAACATGCTTTTACTTGGTTCTCTTTTGTTGTTCTCAGGGCACTTTTTGCATACTTGTATTAAAGCATTTGCCTCAGTAATTTGTCTACATTCTTCCATCCCACGCGAGGTGGGGAGGCCCTGGAAGGCAGGGACCATCTCTTTGTCATTCTGCATCTCCTGCACCGAGCATGTGCACAGACAGCAGAGAACACTGAGTTGGTCTGGAGGGCGGCTCAGAGGCAGAGCATCTGCCTGGCACACAGGGGCACAGCGTTCAATCCCCAGCATTGAAAAAGAAAGTGAGGGGCTGGGGATTTAGCTCAGCGGTACAGCACCTGCCTGGCAAGCGCAAGGTCGTGAGTTCGATTCCCGATACTGGGAAAAAAAAAAAAACTGAGTTAATAAATGAAAGACTTAAACAGATGGATGGCTATATTTAATGTTTCATTTAATTATATTATACTGTGAACCTAAAGTTTACCAAAATGTAAATTATGCCTCAGAAGAAAATGCTACTTTTTAGTTGTTTTTAAACATCGCATACCAAGACATAATACACATTGTCCATTCTTCTTGTGAAGATAGAAAGATGAGGCCTGGGCTATAGTTCAGTGGTAGAACGTGTGCTTAGCATGAACAAAGTCCCAGCTTGGACCCCCAGCTCCAAAAGAGAAAAGGAGAGCAGAGTACAGCAGAACAGGAGCAAGCGCACAGTGACTTTCTAAAGATAAGACTGGCCAGGATGGACACTGCATTCTAGGATCTGTTCCTTGTACATTTTGTCTCTGAAATGTCACCTCCTCTCTGTGTTCACCTTGACTCTGGGTCCTCAAACCCTACGGGGAGCCTGGTGAAGAGTGAACCTGGAAAAATTCAGAAATTTTAATGTCACCTTCAGTGCTTGATTCGACTTAACCATCAAACTCAAGGTTAAAAACCTAGACGCTGATTTTTAGAAAAGCTTTAGAAACATTTACTAGAAAGCTGAGCCGAGCACTGACGGGGTGCCCCTTCCTCAGGCATGGAAAGCTTTTGGGTTTGGGTCACATGAACTTCAACTCCCTGAAAGAGACGTCACTGGCTGCACGGGGTCTCCGGGGAGCACATCTCAACAGCCGAACCTCTCACAGCCTGTCGTTTACCTTCAGCGCGTGGCTCCTCTTCCGCAGTGGGACTTTCCCTGTCCACTTCCACATCCGCTGCCGTCTCCGCGATTCCTGCTGGACGCTCCTTGCCTCCTACGATTCCGTCAGGTTGAACCTGCTTCGGGATTCCGGGATCGTGAGGAGTTGTGTGGACTGGGTCACTCATTACTGGAGTCAGCACAGGCTGACTTTTGTGCTGTCTTTCTGGTGTCCCGTCCTCTTTGGGAATTACCTGTGCAGGCCGAGGCTGCGCATCCTTTCCTAACGTTTCTTGAAGCTGTGGCTCTTCAGCAGTTTCCACAAACCGGCTTCCTTCCGGTATCTCTGGCGGCCCATTCTCTCTGGGAATTGTTTCTGGAAGCTGGGGCTGCGCCTGCTCTTCTTTCCCCATTGCTTCTTGAAGTTGCTGCTCTGCAACGGTCTCCGCCCACTGATGTCCTTCCAGTGCTGGTGGAGATCCGCTGTCCTTGGGGGCCGTGTCTAGCAGCAGGGGCTGCTCCTCTTCTCCCGCTGCTTCCTGACATTGTAGCTCTCCAGCTGTTTCCAGAGGTGCGCCGGTTTCCCCTGTCCCTACGGGTTTCATCAGGCCCATAGTTTGCGCTTGTGGATTCTCTGGACCTTCCCCTGCTCCCAGGGAGTCCCTCGCTCCTGCTGTCCCCGCAGGTTCCGCCTCGGCATTTTCCTTTAAAGCCTGAACCTCCAGCACTGCGTCCACGTCCTTCACCGTTTCTTCTGTTCCTGCGGTATCGTCTTTGCCACCCGGCTGACGTGGCTCCGATTCCTCCGGTCCTTCTGGAGGCTGGGCCTTCTCTGTAGGTCCTGACTGGTCTCCAGCACCCTTTGCAGGTGCTTCATCCTTCGCCAGGGGCTGTGAACCGCAGGATCTGATCCCGTTAGCTGTGGGCATCACCGATGCCTTGGGCTTCTCTGATGGGGCGAGGTTCCCCCTCTGCATGTTGCCACAGAACGCAGATTCTCTGCCCCCCGAACACGACTTGGGTTGAGCGGTACAGGACTCGCTTTCTTCTGTAGCAGAAAAGCATTCATTTGAATTTGCTGTTTGAGCGTTCATTTGAAAAAGAGAAAAGAGAAAAAAAAAATTATCCTTTAGTTTTTATCTTGGGAAACTGAATTAAAATCAAAAGGTGGATTCAACTCTTAAGACATAGCAGGCGCCCCTTCTGTCCAAGTCAGAGCCTTTCCTGTCTTCAGCCCAAACACCTCGCCTTCGGTTTCAGGGTCTCCCAAGCGCTTTTCTCCGCGCACCCCTGGGCCCTTCTCTCAGCTCCCGCCTGTGTTCTCACGCGGCACTTTGCTTCTCTTGCTCTGTTCCCTGAGTCCCCTACCCTCCTCGGGCCTGGAAGCCTTCCCGGCCTATGGTTCTTGGGCCGCTAGTGCGCCCCTTCCTTCCAGCGCAAAACGCCCTCCAGGACAGCAAGAGGCCCGGAGAGAGAAGCCCCAGCCAAAGAGGCTGCCGGGCACAAGCAGCAGGGATGGCCCTGCCTGGGCTTCACGGCATCTTAGGGCCATGGTGGGAAAGAAATCCAGAGGGCTGGGAGACAAGCACAGTGCTTTAGGCTCTTCCTGCCTCCGCGTGGCCGTGGGGACAGCTGCCCAGGCCGAGGGGGTCTCCCTGCCCACTTCCCAGTGGCAGGAGGCGTCTTGGCACAAGACAGGGGTACGACAGTGCGCCAGGTGCTTTAAAATAAGCACTTGGGTAGCATGCTTATACTCACCGACCCTCTCACTGGACTTCTAGAAATGTATCCTAAAAATACAAAATTCTTCAGGTGAAAATTGTAGCTTTCAAGTATTCCTTATAATAGCAAAAGTTAGAAAACAATTTTAAAATACTAATAAGTTGGGGAACAGATGAATATTGCCCTGGGTAGGATATTACTGTGCCTTGAAAAAAGATCATGTGACCTAATCTCAAAAAAACAATTATCATGAAGACCATATGTCAAAGGAAGAAAATAGAGCCAGGTGTAGTGGCGCACGCCTGTAATCCCAGCACTGGAGAGGCTGAGGCAGGGGAATGGTTGGGAGTTGGAGGCCAGCCTGGGCTGCAAAGTGAGCTCAAGGCCAGCCTGAACTGCATAGCGACACCCTGCCTCAAAAAGACCAGGAAACAAAACAAAACAAAACAGGAGAAAGGCAGACAAAATGTTAGAGCACCTCCGTAGTGTTTTCCTTTCTTCCACAAAGGCTGTTTTTCTTCTTTTTTCCCCCCTTTCCCCTCCCCAGTTAGATAGTCACATAATTTAAAGTTATCTGTTGACTCAATGGAACTAAGTAATATCCAGGCTCCTTCAGTCCTCCTCCTCCTCCGCTCCTCTCGCTCCTCCTCTTGTTCCTCTTTCTGTTTGTTTTGTTTTGCGGGGGAGTTGTTTGAGTTATTTTTGGAGACAGGGTCCCACTATGTAGCCCAGGCTGACCTCAAACTCATGGCAATCCTCCTGCCTCAGCTTCCCAAGCACGGGGATTACAGGTGTGCACCACCATGTCCGGTCCATTTTCCCTAGTCTAAGGGCAAATATTTTAATTCTTTTAGCTGTTTTGAGGTTTTTCTTTCTTTCCTACCTAGATCCAAAGATGGAAACCACAGGCTCTACTGTCTGCGGCCATAGTCATGCGACTCTATTAGAAGCAGTAAACCACCTAAACAGTGCCATAAGCACTGGGGCAACTGCATACACCTACGGGCAGGAGATAGCGCAGGAGCAGAATTTAGGGACCAGCTTCTGCGAGCTCCAGGACAAGAACATAAGGGAGCCTAGAGCCCAGCAAGGACAGGGCAGCCGGAGGCCGGGGCAGCGGGGAGACCGCAGAGGGGCCAGTAGGTGGCGCTAACGAGCTTAGAGTTTAACCGGAAAGCCTGAAGAATTGCTACAACTGTGAAGCTTTATTACAAAATGAAACAAATGCCAGGCGTGGGAGCGCACGCCTGTAATCCCAGCAACCCGGATACCGAGGCAGGAGGATCTCCACAAGTCCCAGGCCAACCTGGCCTATATAAGGAGAACCTATCTCTAAATGTGTTTTAAATAAATAAACTTGCACGGGGCTGGGATGCATGTGCTTACCGTGTGAGGCATAAATTCAATCCCTAAAACCAAGTGAAAGAAATGCATATACACACACATGCTTGCACCCTGTGGCTTTGCCATTTTACTCCTAGATATTTCCAGGAGAAAAGAGGCTATGTATCCATACAAAGTAGCAGCTGTTTTTGATAACACAAAACTGGAAACAGCCTAATTTTTTACCAACCTGTAAACAGGTAAACAGAGACAGTCCATGCGGTGGAATACTATATAACAATTAAAAAGAAAGAAATAACTGATAAGTGCAACAGCAGCATGCGGTTTCATTTTGTTTTTTTGTTTGTTTTTCCAGTACCGGGAATCGAACTCATGACCTTGCGCTTGCCAGGCAGGCGCTGTGCCACTGAGCTAAATCCCCAGCCCCGATTTCATCTTTATAAACGAGAAAAAATGCTAACTTAGCTATAGTTGCAAGCTGCTAATTTTTAATATAAAACAAAGTAAAAGGAAATGAAAAAAACTGTGAGCAGGGAGTGCGTTGATCAGATTTGGACTTTTAAAAAGCTCCCCTGTGGAGCTGAGGGTCTAGCTCGGTGCAGACTGTGCGCTTAGCACGCTCTTGCCTTGGGGCTCCACCCCCAGCATGAAAAACGCGCACATACCAACTTCCGAGGGACGCATGCGCGGTGGGAGACACAGAGGTCAATGTGGCCAGTGACTCCTGAGCGAGGGGAGAACACAGACAGAACAGGGTAAGGTGGCGGCGTGTGAGGACTGAGTCAGGGGCGGGGGAAGAGAGGCGGGATCACTTTCGTAGCGTGGATGCTGGATCTAGAAAATAAGGGAAGAACAGGCCCGGCCCTGAGGGAGACGGGAATTGTTCGGTTTGGGGCTCCGTGGCAGAGAGAGGTGTGGACTGTGCATCCCAGAGGCAGGATCTGGGCGGCAGACGGACGTCCAGAGCTTGGCCGGAAATACACGCAACAGGCGAGAGCTGAGACATTTATCTTATGAACGCCTCTGTTTTTATCTTTTTTTTTTTTTTTTGTACCGGGAATCAAATTCAGGACCTGGTGTTTCTAGGCAGGCACTTGTGCCGCTGAGCTATATCCCCGGCCCTTGAACGCCTCTGTTTTGTGTCTAGAGAAAGCTAGTTTTTGCGTCAAGGCAAAACGAGGACATCTGTATCCCAGCCCTGCCTTGCGGACTCAGTGTAAACCCTACGGAGAGGGCAGAGGTGAGGAAGCCTCAGGAATAACACGGTGAGACTGCAGGGTCCAAGTTGGCAGCTTTGGGTTCCACGTGGCAGAACTGGGGAGAGGGACGTCCTTCACCCCCCCACTCCTGCCTCATGAGTATAGTCTTCAAATTGGCAGCAGGTAAGGCAAATTAATAAAAATTACTTCTCAAGTCTATCCGGAAATGCATTCTGACAAGACAACTCACTGAGGTGCTGCGCAAATGCTGCTCTGGCGATAATTGCCTTTGGGAGTTAACAAGGAAATGTGCTAATGTTCTAATCACGGACGTCTGCCCAGCTACATTTCCTGATGAGACAGTTATCACGGTGATTAGTGTGATCCGCAGAGCAACACAGACCTTTTTCCTCCACCTGCGCCAACCGGGGTGCATTCTAGGGTGAGCAAAGCCCGGGCTGGGGAAGGGAGGGAACGGGTCAACACCCCGAAACATAGGCACATGTCACATCTTGAAGAATATATTATGCTATCAGGCGAAGTCAAGTTTCTCCATGAAAAACAACTTGTGAAAATTTATTTCTCCACAAATAGCATCACAGGTGTCCGAGTGATGTGCCCATCTCTGTCATAGCTAGAATAGGTATGCCCATGGTCACAGCATCAGTGTTCATGCTTCCGTACTTTGCCCAATCTTCCTGGCGCACCAGAAGTAGCCCAAGTTCCTCCATGTATGATGTGTAAAATACAACCCGAAAACAGCCCAGTGGGACACGTTACAAGGCGATCTCACTGTGTCTTTCAAGAGTGCCCCAAGGGAATAAAATTTCTCTTAAACGATCACAAAAAAAAATTTTAAAAACCTGGGCAAGGTGGCACACACCTGTAATCCCAGCACTCTGGAGGCTGAGGCAGGAGGATTGCCCTGAGTTTGAGGCCAGCCTGCACTACATAATGAGACCCTGTCCCAAAATAAACAAGATAGGAAAATAACTAGAAGTGTAGTGAAACGTTAATTCTTGTAATTTATTCTGATTAATTGTGCCCTAACTACATTTCTTAAATACTAGATTTTGGAGGGAATGTTTCCTAATGAGTAGCGCAAAAGTTCTCTTTCCTGCGTGATAGAAGAGGGGCAGTCTGCTCTAACAGGGAGGACGGAGCTCTTAGGACCTTGAAAATGACATCTCTGATGTAAACAGTGGGTTTGGATTCTGCTTTTTCCCCCTGGCTCCGGAGAGTCTTAAGCTTCTCCGTGCCTCAGTTTCCTCACCTGTAAAGTGGGAATGGTACTGGTACTGAGCCAAGGAGCTGTGAGCTGAGCAGCCAGAGCTGATGAGTGTGTGGCTTTCCTCTCGGAAGGAAAAGCCACCCCATCCTTTGTCTGTCACCACTCCTTTCGTGGGCACCCAACACACACTATAGGGAGAGACTATGGGAGCAAGCAAGAGTAAAGCAACCCCCCTAGAATGTATGATTAAAAAAAAACTTCAAGAAAGGCTTTGCAGAAGACTATGGAGAGAAGCTGAAGCAAAAGCACCTCCACAAGTTCTGTGAAACTGAACGGCCACACCTATGTCCTGCTTGGCTGCCGGAGGGCACTCTGAACATAGAAATTGTTCAAGTTTGGAGCCAAATCGCCAAGAGCAGCCGGGATCAATACCCCTATATTGACTCTTGGCTGAACTTGTGTCAAAATCTACCACCTTGGGCCTGAGCTTGTGCCTGCCAAGAGAAAGGAACTCTTGGTAGTAAAAGCACAGCACAAATCCCCTAGACAAACGGAGACTCAAAAAGCTAAAAAGATTTATCC